GCGGAGCGCGGCCGCGCTGACTGCGAGCGAGGTAAGCGGGGAAGGGACGAGTCCGGGGCGCGGGGCGGCGGCGGAGCGGAGCGGGAGAGTGCGCGGGGGGCTGCGGGACGAGACGGGAGAGACACTGAGACAGCCTTGGCCGGGCGGCGGCGTTCTCCCATCCCGTACCCGGTTCCCCGTCGCTGCACGGAACGGGGAACGAAGGGACGGGCACCGTCTGCCAAAATGAGAGCCCAGGCTGTTCGCAGAGTTCAACTCCTGCATCAATGGATGCAGCGCAAATACCAAGATCCCGCCTGGGTTTATTCCGCCGCTATTCTAATACTGGGTAGGTGAACCGCGTTTCAAAGCTGTGCCCTAAGTGTTCGGTAGGCTCAGCTTGCCAAGGCTGCCTGGCATTCCTTTTTTTGTAACCGGGTTTACTTCTCCGGGAAGCACTTGAACTAGAGAAGTGAAGTGGCAGAAGGATAAATAGAAGGATAAATAGAAGGATAAATAGAAGGATGCTTTGCTCCAAAGACGAACTGTTTGCACAGCACGTCTTTCTTTTCTCCCCCACATCTCGGGATAACGGGGATAACGGGTTCACAAGTTGGTGCTGATGTTCGAGGACATCCATGAACTGAGCCAAGAGACCTGTGTTCCCCTCACATACACCCAGCTAAACTCCCACTGTCTTCTTCAGTGTAAGTTTTCAGTGYGTAAGGACTGAACAGCAATTTCAGCATTCAGCCCTTGATCAGGTTTGCTTTTCATCAGTGTTGGCATTAAATATTTTGATGTAYAGTCTGGTTTTGAATGACTTCACATTTTCTCCTGCATTGCTCTGGTATTATCTCCTACCAGAATAAGAATTGTTTCCTATCTACAGCTGTACTAAACATGATCAAGTGTAATTATTAAAATGAAAATTCCCTGCTTTGTTGTTCTTCCTTCTACATCTTTTGTAATAGCACAAGATCAGTAGGGAAGTTGATCATAATTATTATTATTTTGTTTGTTGTGAAAGTTGACTTTGGATTGTGAGGGTTTTTAAAATTAATTTACTTTCAGATCACTGAAAAGGATTGTAATTCTCCTTCCAACAGTAGCTGCAGTAGGTGTACAAAAAAAAGATGCTAATTTGAGCAACGTGATAATTATACATATTGGTATAAAATACCACGTGAAGAGGATATGGAGGCACCAAGGTCCATACTGATCACTTACACTTACAAAAGATACAGTTTCAAAGCTGTGTTCCAAGTCAAATGTACTCCTTCAAGAAGACTGAATGATATTATGCAGTACAGATGTTTCCCTGGAAAGTATGGCATGGAAGAGAAAACAGATAACCAGACACAGATGAAAAAAAAAAACAAACCCAGAAGACTTTGTGCTCTTTAACTGGTCTCACTTTTAGAAAGGGTGCCACAGTTGCTTCTCTAATTTAACCCAACATATTAAGAGTTTTTTTTTTTAGAATTCATCAGTCTGCTTCCCAAAATACTTGATAAGGACTTGGTCTAATAAAATAGTGAAGATGAACACAGCAGTTTATCGCTATGAACCCAATCATGTACTTTGTAAAGTTCCAGAATCCCCTGTAAGTTCAGAATGGAGGGCATTAAGTAAAAAAAAAAAATGCAAGAAACACTGCATGATTTAGGTTAAGCAGCGTTTCTTCAGTCTTTTCAGAATGCAGCTTTGTTCCCCAGAAAAAGAAATCCAGGTYGGCCCCTGCTAACAGGGAGGACACAACTACTGTGAACAATACCCCATACTTTCTAATGGACAGGTGATCTGTTCCTGTTGGACTCGGTAGTAAACTCCAGTGACATCACCAGAGCCAATGTCTGTCCAAAAGCCTCCATGGAGGCAATATGAGAGAATTCGAGAGTTTTTGAGACAGCTTAAGGTGCAACATGGACACAAATCAAGCCATTTGCCCAGAAATAAACCTTATTATAATGTTCCCCCGGAGTATGAAGTATGAACATACGAAGTATGTTCCTTTGTCACAAGAAGCAAAGAGATTCCAATGAGGGAATGTTATGAAGTGGTTATAGCTAGAGAGGTTATAGCTAGACTACTCAGAGTAACTCTGCACGTCTTGCTTTAGTACCTGGGCTAAGGAAGCCCATATTCAATATTAGGCACCTCCCATAACTAAATACAATACCATATTCAAAGACTTAGCTATAAATCCGCAGGCTTTTCTAGCTTAAATATTAAGACTCATCTGCAAAGGTAATTTGCTACACTTTATGTGCGTATATTAAATTGCTTTATATTGAAACAGTAACAATGAAAATTTTTTTCAAAAGGTACCTTTGCAGTTATACCATAAAGTAGCAGTCTACAATCAGTTTTATCGTTTAAAATAATAGGTTGTGGTTTTTCATTTACTTCCTTCTAAAAATATCTGGGCAACATTACTTATTCATGCCTTGAAAACAGGTAAACCAAGTAAACCAAATAAAAATATATATAAATTATCATGATTAACCAAGGACATTATAGAGGACAATAAATGAATACAAGAGTACTCTCTATACAGAGCCAGTGTGAGTCCACCAGAACTGACTATTTTAGTTACTGCTAATAACAACTTACCTGTAGTTGTGCAGGCTCCAAGAACAAGGCCTAGCTCAGTACCTGGAAGCAATTGCTGCCACACTGTGTATGTGTGACATGCAGTTACAGTTTTCTGCATATGTTGTTCAATGCTATGTTGCTACATATCTCATTTAAGGCACTTGGAGCCAAGTGGGTTAATTATTTTCCTTTCTATTACAAAGAGGAAACAGTACCAAACAGGGTAAGTGTCTTTGTCAAAGGTCAGTGGCAGAACTGGAAATAAAGTACACACATCTCCAGAAAGGCCTGACTTCAGAAACTTTCCATTAAAATTGCATTTATCACTAGGTGATTCCACTAAYGTCAATCCARAAAGGCCTCACTAGACTTTTGTGAAAAGAATCAAGCCTCAGGCTGATAATCTAAACACCAGATTATTCTTCCTACCTGCAATACCATAGTTCAAGCAGTTGATGGAAGGTCTTTCGGAGTTTGGGTTTTTTTAAATAGCAAATCATGAGAATTTACACACGAATATCCATATTKTCTTTCTAAGAAGCAGCTCCTCTGGAATCATTCTTACCAGAGCTGCACAGTGTGAGACTCCTTATTTTTTCCAGCTCTGCCCACCTAAGTGCAGCATTTCAGAGCCCATTACATTGCTCAGTTTCAGTTTAGTTTCTCAGCTCTAAAACCATTGATTGCTGACATGATGGATCGCACTGCTGCAGAAGAACCATTACACACTCAGTGTATACAATATTTATGAAAGTTCTAATATAAGGAACCTTGAGTATGCAATACTGCCACTGATTCTCAAGATAGCTCTTAAAAAGTAGTTCTGATAGAGGCACCCTTTTTTCAAGGTTAAAATGCGAGGGGGAAATAATTATAATTTTAGACTAAGAGCAGTTCTCAGGAARGTGACAGACATTGATCAGAGTGAGAACCATCCATAGTTGTGCTGAAGTCAATGGGATTAAATTCTTTGATTTTAGTCAGGCCTGATCTTGGGAGGGAAGTTTCCATTCACTGAACCAATGTTAGGTTCTACCTGTGATACAGGTGGCTTTTTACAAGTACCTCATACAAACTAGTGAATTAGTTCCATTCTGAAACTGGGATAGACTCTGTTATATGGATTATGGATAATCCCCTGGTGTTACAATGTGGTCCCATGGGATATACAGTATGTGTCAATGGGAGACCCTGACACCTGATGTTAGTTTGGACTTACCTAACTGACTCCAAGGCAACAGAGTTGAATTATCAGTGTAGGGCTTTCAATGGCACTGTCCCACATTGGAACGCCTTGGAAATTAAGGCAGAAATAAAAATATTTGTTGTTTTTACAGATTTCCAAAATGAAAATGACTTCTTTTGCTCTGCTTTAAATCTGCCATTTCAGAGCACATAGCACCAGAGTGAAAGGCACAGGCAATTTCCACTTCTGATTCCTCTTTTCCCAGTCTACATTTACAGCCAAATTGCAAACCTTTGGACACAGATATTTACCAAGAAGCTTCGGCCAACACCATAAACCCCACTGCTGCAGCACTTAAACATACAGCAGAAGTGGAAGTGATTCCCATTCTATTTGCAATTCAGCCACACAGTAACAATGTTTGTTCCAATGAAATATAAAAAAAAAATGAAACAGTTTGAAGTTACCCAGCATCTCTGGACATGAGAGTGTATAGGAAAAGAGGCCAAGCACAACAGCACAATTCCTTTGAAGCTCTTCTGCTTTTTGGAGTTAATTAAAAGTTGGCTGAGTGGTTTTCCTCTCCCTTTTTTCCTGAGTGTCTCATCTTGAGCCTATATGGCAGGTGTTCTGGAGCAAGTCTCAGCAGCACCCACTGGATACCCTTACTTCCTTGCATTTGCAAGTATAACTTAATCTCCTTTCAACAGTGATAGCAGATAGGAAAGATTTTGACTTGGGCAGATACCAGGACAACTAAAATTACCAGACTGTATGTAAACAACAGGAATTGACCGCCAGTAACCTCAGCTAAAACACAATTACAATAAATGCACACATATTTTTGAGTCTTTATACATGAAGGAGTTTCTATCGGGAAGTAGATAGTATTTTTTAATAAAGGGCTGAATTAAGTCTGTCCTAAGACCACAGTATGTGTCCTAGAGCTGTCTCTTAGGCTTGCTTTGTGTCCTGTGCCCCTGCTTCTAGCTATTGTAGGGTCAGTTCACCTATCCTCATCCTCCCTTTTCCTGACCACTGCTGAGGAGGGCAGAGTCATGGGCAGGATCCTTCTGCTCCTGTTCCCTGTTGTTGACCTTTGCGTTRAGGCAGTGTAGGGTTTGATAAGCTTGAAGCAAAGGCCTGACACCATATTGAGCTGGTAGAGAGTAGAGAGAGTAGATACTGCTGCATTAACTCTACTCCCAAGGTTTAGTTTTCTTCAGCAACTAAAAGAGCTGAAATATTAGAGCTTAAAAATTTGAGATGCTACTATACCTATGACTGCAGAAACCTAGAGCTCCAGTGCATACACTTAAGCCAGACCTGTTTTCTAAGAAGGAATGCAGATGCCATTCTCCAGAGTTCTTGTGCTCTAGAGGCAGCACAGAAGGAGGCCACTCAGACATTGCTGGGTGCTTCAGGTGTTACAATGGAACAGTAGAAGACTTACCCAGTAAAATTAAGAATTAACATGTATCCTTTCAATCTTGCTAAATGTTAGGTTTCTTGCTGCCTATGAAGTGAAAAAGTGTTTCCTGGAAATTTTACAATGCAAACACTGGCTATTTTGCAATTAAAATATTAACACATGAACAGATACTTGGTAATACAGCATAAATACACACAATGGCAGATTATGCTGGTATCATGCAATTCCTTAGGGTCAATTTACACAGGAAACAGAGTGGTGTTTCATTAGGAAGTAAGAGTTTGATACACTGGAAAGAAAACCAAGCTACTGTAATGAAAGTCTTGCTGTTTAAGTTCTGTTCTGTTTTATGAGGTGTCACTATTATAACTAATGTATCTCTTGATCTGGGAATATAAATACCAGGTGTCTGAGTATTGCAACATTTTGAGTAAACAACAGAGAAATCATTTTCTTATTAGTGCCCTTTGATTTGTTTGCTATATAATTATGACCTGGTCATATGATATAAGTTGATACATGCTTCAAAGTGCATATACCATATATTTGGTTACCTCTATTAAATGGCAGGTTTAGTATTACCTACATGTAAAAATAGGCTTTCCTYTTATTTCTTTCTAGATTAACTTATCTGGTGAAAATCAAGAATATTTAAAATTAGTTACAAAATTACCTTCGACAATCCACTTGTGTGTTTTGCTTGTGTACACGACTAAGTTCCTGCACTGCTGTCATTGGGAAATMTGTAAATACAAAAAGAGGAGTGAGCCAAATTCTGCCACGGAGACCTYAGAAGAGAATTTTAGTCTTCAAGTGCTCCCTTATTCAAATATTTGAACAGAAACATTGTGTAATGTGTACTCAGGAAACACTGTATTGATTTCAGTAGGTGTCATGCAGCACTGTAAGCAATCATGCATGAAAATAAACTTATTTTTGGAGATGACATCTTCAAACTTGCTTTCTGGTATGTCAGGAATCACTTTGCTATTACTGCAGTTGATGTTTCAAGTGAAAATAAYAGTCTATACAAAAGTCTGGTGAAGAGCAGAAATAAACAGAATTCCAGACTCTGTCTGTATGTGACACATATAGTAAAACACAAYGAGAAAAATTGTAAAGACAGATAAATGATGTGCAACATGTCTACAGTATAGTTATATTTGACTCAGTAATAATCCTCTCTTACGAATGATAGCTCACTCTGTAATGTGAGTTGAATAAATGTTGTTTGCAATTTACTGCACAGTAAGTTACTGCTGAGAAAGTAAACAGGAGGCAAAAAAGAACATGCCAAACCAAACATGAGGTTAATTAATTCCTCGAGTTATTTGGCAGTTGTTCGGCTTTGTGGTTTTATAAAATAYACTGAACTAAACCCAGGACAGAAGCTGAGAAAGAAAAGTGGATCTACCTATCTTTATTTTTATTTACACAAACATGAACACATACAGAATGAAAGGCAGGCACAAACACTATTTTCATCCTATTGCCAACCCCCCTGCAAACTGGATGATGGTGTAGCTTCTAAGTAGATCACAGTACAGAGGCAGATGGATTAAGYGGGATTTCAAGCAATACTAATTCATACAGCTGGGCTATATTTGATAATTTAACAGTAGTGTTTCTTGTTSAATTACTGCTCTGTCATGATCCTTGTCTGCTTCTGTGTAGTTATCCCTATGCCCAGCTTTTTCCCACCTTTGCCTGTGGCACTTGGCCACCTTCAACAATAGATGCGTCTGACAACTCAAGTAAAACTACTGTGATACAAAAATGCAAAATCTGCTAATTTTCTTGGATTTCTGTGCTCTGTAGCTCACAAGAGGCACCTTTATTTCTCCCCAGTTCTTTTAGACAATTCCTTATGCTTTTTAGTTTGCTATGTCTGAGAATTTGGTAAAGACATCTCATGGATTAAGGGAACTATATCCAGTGTTTTTCTGTCTGAGGAAAGTATGAACAAATGCATTCTTTGGCTAAAATAAACTGCTGTCATCTATGACATGCATAACGTAACGTAGCAAAAGCTATGTAATCCATACATAGTTATTTTCTAATTCCCTTAAGGTCAATGGAATTTTGTGGAAGATAAAAGTACAGCATGTTTCACATATATATATATATATGCATATATATATACACATACATATAAACGTTTTACACATTTGGGTAGAGGAAATCACATTTAAATAATTATGTATCTATAAATACTTTTTCTTTGTTAGATCTTCAACTAAGTTATAGCATCAGAAGGATCAGAAATATGATGTAGTTTCAGTATAAGGAGCAAAATGTTTCCCTYGTGTAAAAAAATARGCTTTCTACATTTGTGCATCATTGTGTGTTAGGTGTGCCAGAATGTTTCTTGGAAACAGCTCAATAATCCAGAAAASAGGAACTCAGGGAAAATGAGGTTCAGAATCTTTTGTGTGGGATACATTAACTGAGCAAYAGAGTATCTTGGAGGTGTAATTGTTTTATTTTTAATTTTTTTGACTAGGGTCAGTGAGACTCCGGGGAGGCAAGAATGAGTTTGAAGGTACAGTGGAGGTTTATTTGAATGGAATCTGGGGAACAATCTGTGGGAGCCAATGGGACAATAATGATGCGACAGTTGTATGTCGACAGCTTGCACTGGGGTAAGTTTCAGTTTGAGTGAAAATCAATCAAWCCATTTTAATGATGTTTCAGTATAAAGGACAATCTATTTTGTAAATCCTGAGGGCTTTTTGTGTTTGAGAATTGCTTTTCCTGTTTGAAAGTTGTTGAATGCTGAAGTTGTTCTTCCCAGAGTACTCTGCTTGCCTCAGCTACGCTACACGTCAAGGAGGTGGCTGTGGGAATCACTGTTTCCTCAAAAAGCTGCATATAGGATTTGGACAGGAGCAGACCATGTCAAATGTATTGCTTTCAAAGTGAAAAGTGTGAATAGGTGAGAAAGCTTAGAACAAACACCAACTGCTCTACTGGACATTTGGGAGATGTCCAAAAGGGCAGAATTATGTGCTCTGATCCTGATCTCACCTATCTAAATGTCAATTCAGAGCAGCTCCAGTGAGGTTACGGAATCTCTAACAGTAAATGTGGCCAGGATTAGACTCTACATGGGCTCCTAATCATAGAAACATTCCTAGTTCTTAGGAAATCTTCTAGTAATCATCCATTTTAGCATGCCAAATAACACCTGGAACTCATCCTAAGTTTTTGGCAAATGGCAACACTTTAGAGCTTTAGAGCCATACTGGACAGGTTGAAAGTCCCTGCATTGTCCCTGCTGACAACCACTTCTCCCTGCTGCCAGAATGGAGTAAATCAACAGCACCCTTTAGCATCCTTTGGCTGCTTTACTGCCTTTCTAACACTTTTTCTCTCACATACCAAAGCAGCGGTTTTGCTTGCTACAGGCAGTAAGGGGCTTTTAGAGCAGACTTGCACTGTGACATACCTAATGATTATTCYACTTTTTAAGACTGCTAGCCAGAACTAAATCTAAGCTGGTTTATAACATTCACTAYTAATCTGGACACACCACGCCAACTTATAAAAATATGAGGATTAGATGAGATAAAAGTTCAGCCATCTGGAGGCTGTGATTTTGCTTATGACTTCAGCTGTCTACGTGCAGTGTCTCCTTCCCTCATTTTCACGTAAGTCCTATCTGCTTTCTATACCCTGAACATWTCAGCCAAACAAGGCTGCTGTTAGCAAAAGTAATTCAGTGATATGGGTGAAGGGTTTGGTTTGGTCTTTTCAACAGAAATGGCTCAAAGTTGAATTCAGGCCAAAAAAGCCCCAAGCAAACATTAGTTGAAAGTTTGTGCTATCTTGAATGTTTGGCAGAAATTTGGATCTACATACCACCAAGTGAGCTCACGAGGTATTACTGGTGCTTTTMAGGTGCTCCACCCATCTGTTCCTTTAATATGACAATATTTGGGCTTTGTTTTAAATTTGTTGAGCTTTGCAAAGAAGAAAAGATGGCTCTATAAATGTTGCCGTATATTCAGCATGAGAAGGGAGGTGTTTCTAAAATGTTCTGGATGGATGACAGCAGCTGACTAGAGAAAAACGGCCATGCCCCTATCTAATGGAGTGTGAGGTGGTTTGACTGTCCCATCATCACAACCAAAATGCACGGCATTTATGGGCAGAGCATGGTATGACTTCATGGAACAAAGGAGAGAAAGGCCTGGTGGCATTACCTGTGCTGGAATTGTAACTGCAGTGGGCTGGTACTGTAGATTCACCTACAGATGGTGGACTCTGCTTGATTTTTGTAGTTAAGAACTGGGAGAACAGGAATGTAGCTGGCTGTGCAGCAACTCATTCATTGTACTAAAATATCCCACAACAAAATGGTGAGAACTGGGTCACATCTGTTACTTTGCTTTGTRCAGAAGACAATGCTGAACTGTATGAAAATGTGATGAATTTATACTGCTGAAAAAAGCCCTTTCTTTTCTACTTCAAGATTTACACATGARAAAATGGTTCCACTCCCCTTCCTCCCACTCTGATGTCCTATCCTGATTATTCTTACAGGGAAAAAGGTACAGCAAAACACATACCGTTTTCTGGACTAGGCCTTATTCCTGTTTTCTGGAGTGAAGTGCATTGTCGTGGTGATGAAGAAAATATACTGYTATGTGAAAAGGACACCTGGCAGGATGGGACATGTTCTCAAAAAATGGCAGCTGCTGTCACATGTAGCTCCTCCCTGGGTAAAAAAACGCATATGGTTTTGTTAACTCCTTACCTTATTTAAGTAGTTATAATTACTGATTATTAAATTATAAAAAATGTAAAGATTTCTTGGAACAGAAAATTGTACAGATTGAATTTTCACATCATTAGCTACTTCAAATACCTCAAGCAGCTCCAAGCTTAACAACATTTTACCATTCCATAATCAACAAGCAAATTGTTTCTTGGAGATGTAGATTGTGAGAAAGGGTAAAGTAGCAAGAATCTCTGGCTGTARAAGTAGGATTGCTTCCCCACACACTTTTTTTTAAATGTCAGAATTATATTATTAAGAAAACAAGTATCATGAATGTTTWTAAGAYATTTGCTATGATTTTAATTAACATRCTAACTAAATGGGCAGGTAYRCCATCAGATTTAAGACAGTGCTGGCCTCAAGAAGGGCTGGGCTGGCAGAGCTGGCCACGCCAATCTCCTCCGCTGTAACCAAATGTGTGGCTGCAGCCAGTTCTGTGCTGCCTTTCCCCTCCTACTTACATTCCTACCCAAAGAAGGCATTTTTGTCCTAAAGCTCTATTATTAATGAGCAACATTCTGATAAATTACTTTTAAAAGAGCATTTTTGTCTTAACGTAGAGACCTGTTGAGTAGAGGGAAAGGAGAATCTTTTTAAGCTAGGAGACAAACTGGTGAACCAAAGCAAGAGAAATAGTTTTGCCTGAAGAAACTGAAAACTGTAAATGTTTTCACATTTTGTAGGTTCAATTGCAACTAGCCTTTTAAAATATTTGCAACCTCCTCCATAGTTCATATCAGTGAAACAGTAACATGAATTTGGAGAACTGCCCTCAGTATTGTGGCTTTGGGTTTTCTTTACATCCGAGAATTAGATTAAATAGTAGCATTAATTGGTTGGAGGGTTACACAAAAATTGTTCAAATTTAAATCATTCATATGTCAGATCTGGTGAAACTATAAAATAACCTTGTTCATATTAGAGCAATGATGGGGTTTTATACGGCTTTAAGATGTTTCCATTATTACAGATTTATTCAGCAGTGATGCTTTCCAGGTAGTTTCCTGGTGCACCAGAAGAGAGCTACTGATTTTAAAAGACTAGAAGCAGGAAGGTAACAATACTTGCACAATTCAAGTGAGACTCCACAGTGAAAGAGATTTCACTGCTCTGACCAGATTTTTCCAGTCAGAAAATTTTTCTAACAGAATGAGAAAACATGAGGATGAATTTCTATTTCTGAATCTATGACATAATTTTTGCTTTTTCAGATTTTACCCAATTTTGCTCTTACTGGTAGAAATGCAGCTCTGCTGACTGATTTAGTATTTGGCCTTACAGAACTAAGTGTCTGTGAATGTTTTGACACTTAGGTCATTCAAGAGCAGTATAGATACTTGCATGTATAAGATTTTTCAGCTAGTGAAAGTGGAGCAATAAGGGAACTCACTTTACTTTCAGATTTTCCATCTAACTAGAAAAAAGAAAATGTGGTTCTTGACTGAAGTCAGAGAAACCATTAGGCCATCTTCCTCTTTTCTTTCCTATCAGAATAACATTTCAGGATATGAATGACCTGTTCTATATCCTGTGTTTGCTCACAGCCCCTGTCTTCACTCCAATCCGGCTGGCTGGTGGGAGCAATGCCCACRAAGGAAGAGTGGAAGTCTACCATGGTGGCCAGTGGGGGACAGTCTGTGATGACCAGTGGGATGATGCAGATGCTGAAGTTGTCTGTCGACAGCTTGGCCTTGGGTTTGTTTCTCTACATGTTTTTTATTCCAGCAGCAAAGCAGGACAATTATCACACAGAGCTGAAATTAGGAGAAGTACAATGGTAAAAAAAAATGTTCCTTTGAAATTGCACTGATAATTTGGAGCAGTAAGTAAGTTTATTTATAGAAGGTTYAGGTACTGTGACATTACTTTCAATTCTCTGAAACCAGTCTTCAGTGTCATAGGACAGGGCAAATTTTGTCTGTTTCTCTGGACAGACAAAGAATATGTCTCAGAATAAATGTTGACTTTGTAGTGAAAACTCACTACAACTTCTGTAAAGTTTCAATCAAAAACTGTAGGTGAAGAAAAGGAATTTGCTTTGTTCCAATCCTTATGATCCGTTTTGCTGCARTCTGCTTTGGCACAAAAGCTCTGCTTTGGCAGAAAGGATATGTTTTTGGCAGGCCTGTGAGAATCTTCTAGATTTGTTTAAATCAGGAGTCTCTGAAGATGGTCAGTCTGCACATACTRAGGTAGAAATCTGTTTGAAGTTTTGACAGTTAAGCTTGTCAGTGATTCTGTCTGAACTAAGCATGGTCCAAAATAGCAGCAGAGCAGGATTTTCTTGCTTCCCTTAACAGCCACAGGTGATTTTGATCCCACACAGAAGACAAGTATTTGCAGAAAGATGCTGCAGAGGTGGGAAACTAAGAGGAGAACTGCTGGATCACGGAGGAGGAGATGAGGACAAATGGGATGGAAGGTCAGAGGGGTTGAGGASGGAAAGAACTAGGAGCGAGATGCAAAGAAAATGCAAAGTTGTATCCCATGCAGGGCAAAGGGATTATGTCTGAGACAGACTGGATGAGAACTAAGCAGGTAAATGCAGAGGAGACTGGAACAGAACTCACTTCTTGAACCCTGCTGGAACTATAATGAATTAAAAGAAGTGGTATTGAAGTTAGCAAGTTTTGATAACAGTGTGTACTTTGTAACTGAGGCCTTGGCAGCCTGTGCCWCCCAAACTAGCTCCGAAGGATGAGAACTGTGGACTAGCTACAAAGCTTGTAGATCTTCTGAGCCAACAATGAGAACCAACATGCTTCTCTAATATCAGATTCTTCCCAACTTATTTTATGTTGTATTTCTATAATCCTGTACATTTTTAATTGGGAATACCTAATGGAAAGTCTATCTTCTTGCAGGCTTTTCCTGCTTTTGAATTGTGCTGCTACTAGTAGGTTTGGGGAATTACTAAGCTTGCTTTGCATTTCTGTATACTAGTGACAAGTGTAATGTTCTTAGCCTGACTCCTTACTGATGACASTAAAACTTTTTATTACTTATATTTAATCATCACAAACTGCAGTTCTTAGATACTTCTAATTTGATTCGTTTTTCTGAGTAAATAAATTGTATTAAGATAGTGCAAAACCTGTTAAGGCTTTTTCGAATATGTCTAGAGATTTACAGAATTTCTCAAGCAAGCAAGATGTTACAACAAATGTGCTAATTAATATGAAGTGAAATCTTACCAACAGTGGCAGTAGACCAGTTCTGAGGTACTAAAAATAGTCTAAATTTGCATACTGTTAATCCATCTGGAAACATGCCAGAAACTGTAAAAGTAAAGCTGCTCGGTAAGGAGTTTCCCAGAGCCCTTCAACTTTTCTATAGCACTTCTATAAAACTGCAGAACATGAATCTACCATTAACAGGTGGAAAATAATGATAACTTATTTAATTATTTGGTTTSCATGAATTTTTTTTGCTTGATACAAATTCCCCTCATCATAATGATGGGATGAATTGYCTCTGCTTTAGTGTAACTCCAGAGRCTCTTATAAGAGTATGGTATAACTTGTTTTCAGCATTCAGAATAGCAAATCACCATCTCTTTGATTTCTGTCAGCTTCTGAATGAATAAGGGGTTTTGTTCTAACATTTTCTATGCATTTGTGCCAGCATTTGTAGCAAATAGACTGGAAACTCAAGATGCTTTTTTTAGTTAATTTAAACTCATCCTTTAGCTAGGTAAATCWTTATGGCAAATAATTTAGTTAGGCATTTCAATATTGCCATTTCAAACTAGTGTGAATATATGAACAGAGAAACTATTGAGTAGAAGGAAACTAAATTAYGGCAAACATTAACATATGAAAGACATAGTATTTGAAACAGAATTGGAAAAATCCTGATAGATGGTGAAGGGTTAAACACTGCATAATTTCTGTAATTCTGAAACAATGGAATGTTTTCAATTGACGTAGYTTTTTGTGCTGACATAGAATAAACCCTATACGAGGCTAGTCACTGCTCTGCTTCCTGTTCTTATTTCTGTTGCTGATTGGTGCTATGACATTGTCAAGTCACTTAAGATCTCTTTGCCRTGGTTTTTGCATTACTAAATGGGGAACAATCACTTTTATCTGCCTCATCTGAGTATTTGAGATTTGATTAATGTGATTTGAGGACAACAGGGGAAAGTCACTGTAGAAATATATATCGGATCTTTTTTAGTACATATAGACATTCAATGAAAACTAAAATCCTCATACCCAAGCTAGAACCTCTCCTAGGAAAGTTAAAAGTTAAAGGCACAGARGAGGAAAATCTTCAGCTTGCTTGGTGCTGACTGTGAGTTCCTTGCATTTCCACAGGGGTGTTGCCAAGGCATGGAGCCAGGCTTACTTTGGAGAAGGCTCTGGCCCCGTGCTGCTGGATGAAGTGCGGTGCACAGGAAATGAACTCTCCATAGAACAGTGCCCAAAAAACTCATGGAGAGAACACAACTGTGGCCACAAAGAAGATGCTGGTGTTTCCTGCACACCTCTCACAGGTACTTCAGTCATCAACAATCACATGGGAAAACAGGGACAAAGGCAGAGTTCACAGCTCTGGAAAGAGAACTTTGGAARTTTGCAGATGCACAAATCCCAGACCGGATGCAGTAAATGCAATGTTACCAATTTTGCTTYAGAACAGTAATTAGATCTAAGAAAAAATGATCCTTGTTTTGTTTTCCCTTACTTGTTACCGGCACAGATGGTGCACTAAGGCTCGCAAGTGGGAAGGGCAGTCACGAGGGCCGCCTGGAGGTCTATCACAAGGGGCAGTGGGGCACGGTCTGCGACGATGGCTGGACAGAGCTGAACACACAGGTGGTTTGCCGGCAGCTGGGATTTAAGTAAGATTACTTGATATTGGATATCTGACTCTGTGACTTGACCATGATAGCAAACAGTTACATGAACTCTACATGGACCCTATTTTGAGAGTCTGTTTTTTTAATATTAGCTGAGTGCTTCATAGAAACTACCAAGTTAAAACCCATTAAAGCCTGCTTCCCTCRGTTTCACAGAGATATGTAGAAAAACCTTCAACAAATGTGATTTTGCAGCCTCTATTCACCAAATTCCTTCCAGTTATCTTTTTTGCTGACTTCAACGCATGTGTTACAGAGAAAAACTGATTTTGATTTCTATTTTGMCTATAAAATTTTCATTCTTCTAAATCTTGGCTTGCTGTACAGTCATTATTAATAACAGACATTTTCAAGGTGTAAGTCCTTCTGCACTACCTCAGAATATSCCACAGCCTGGCCCTGGAACAGTTTTGTATTGAAAAGCATGTTTTAGAAAAATCCCATTAGTTTCATGCATTCACTCTTCCCTAATTTTCCTACTGACTGTAGCTACAAAGATACATTCTCAGTAGGTGACTGAGTTGTCTTGCCTTCCAGTTGTAACAGCTGACTTTCAAAAAAAGGATTATGTCCCGTTTTTCCCAGACTGTGACATTTAAATTTATATCTAATATTAAGAACATACTTAAAGCCTCAAAGTCATTGAGCCAGCCATATGCTTGGTAGAAGAGCTGCCTTAATCAAAGGTATTACATTCTTAAGTTTGTATTAATGTAACAGTAATTCCTTAAGAAAAAACATTACTGAAGAGGCAGCATATGGTGCTCTCACTGAATTTAATGCTAACTGAACCTGCTTAATGATTATACTTGAGAAACCTTTATTTCCTCAGGAGTAACTTCTTTCCTTTCTAATGCTTAAGCACCACGTGTCCTCTGATCACTGTGGACCAAAAAAAGTGGACCTCTGTGTTGTGCAGGTATGGGAAAAGTGCAGCTATGGAAAAGGAGAGCTATTCAGAAGGAAGCTCTGGGCCCATCTGGTTGGATGATGTGATCTGCTCCGGGAAGGAGACAAACCTTCTGCARTGCTCCCGGAGGGAGTGGGGAAAGCACGACTGCAACCATCAGGAGGATGTCAGACTCATCTGCCACCCAGAAAACGACAGCCACAAGCTCTCACTTGGTAAGGAAGCTCTTTGCTGAAGTCACAGTGTGAGTATTGCCATGGATACAGATCCAACCAAAGTACAGGGATACTTAAGGATTCTCAGAATCCTAGTATTTGTCAGATGAGCGCAAGGAAGGAACAGGAAGGGTAAAAACTTGACTTYTCTGCTGAARAACAYAGGSAGCAATCAAGTTTTCTTTAGAGGAGTAAGCATCCAGAACATTAAAGCYTAACACAGATTTCCAAGGTAACAAAGTCACATTCCAGAGATGCCGYTCCCTCAGTGTCCACCAGATTTTAGACCTATTCAGCACTTCCTGATGGTGTATGCAATGTTGGCACTTCTTAACCTCTAAATAACTCTCTCATGGTGTCAGATGCTGGAGGTATACCTGAGCACTGAGGGATATAAATCTATAGCACATCCTCCTATGGCTTTGCATTTAGACAATCCAACACAAGGGATATGGAGGAGGTGGGAAGTGTTCAGAAAGAGCAAGAAGGAAGGGTGAGAGTATGAAATTATTTCTGTGTTACTATTGCCTATCATTTACATTGTGTCTGTGTGAACAGCCCAACTTGCTGACCAGGACAGAATGATACTACACACACAGATAAAGAGTCAGTTCCAATGTCAAAAGACTACAAACTTGTATAAAAATAAAGAGTAAAAAGACTGATAAGAAAAAAGATGATAGAAGAATACCAATTACATATGAAATCATAGAAAAAAAAAACATACACAATAAATTCCAAAGATTCCTAAATTCACATATAGGTAATTAACAGTAATTCTATATATTCTAGTAGAAACCACAGAGGAACAATGGGTTGCACAGTAATTCTGAAAACGTTCCATTTTTACAGTCTGCTACACAAARTGTGTAGCTTGTCAGAATGTAGCCTTTTAGAAAATTGCTGCCAATGCCATTTAGCTTACCCAAGAACATTTCAGTTGAATTTGAAATTGCTATTATATGCCTGTTTCCTGGAAATCACATAYTGAAAGTTTATCCCACAAACTACAACATGGATTTACTGCACAATGTTGCTACTTGTTATAACAACATTCAGCACTTCCACWTGTACTTTTCTAGTCTCTCCCTCTTTACAGCCTTTTCTATATAACCCTCTCACGGTCCAATGAATGCTTTATGTTGCAGTCCATACATCAAATCCTATTTGGTAGAAAGAATTTTCTCAAACCAAAAATAACAGGAATTCAAACCATGACTGCTGTCTTTACAGATGCAAACCATCTGTGCTGSTTTGCTCAAATTCCTATAAAATATAATCTCTGCTGAAGGAGGTCTGGTTCAGTTAAATACATCCATATGGTAACATTCTCACATCCCCATTACAGAATGCTATATAAATTTAGTGCCTATAAATATATATATATATATTCTAAACCACAAGAAGATAACAATAAAATATTAATATCCCATGCCTCTCTCTGGTTAATAGAAGTATAATTTTCACCTAAGTTGCTTCTTCCAGAGTACATCAGTTCAACAAGAAAATAAGGTGGTTTTCTAGGACATTTCCTAGAAGACTTCTGACTGGAAAGTGGACAAAGACTGTTATTACAATTTACTTGCCTGTATTTGAAAAAGCATTTTTTTTCCCTGTAAGGATAAATTCAGTGGAAAAAGATGAGAAATTAGTAGATGATATGACTTAAGAAAATGCAGATATTAAGGAATACTAAAAATGAGATAGAATACACTACAATAATGACATTTTTTCAGTAAGATCATGATAGATAATAGGTCAGAATAGGTAAACAGAAGGTTGGTGARGATAATTCATGTAGCTGTCCAGACAGTATAAACTCCAACAGAAACAATGTGCTTCAAATTACATCTGAAGCAAACAGACTTCGATTTTATTTTCAAATATTTCCTTATTCATTTAATGACTTGGGCCATATTTAACTAGTGCTGACCAGACTCATGTTTTGTATACCAAAGTTATTAATACCCTAAACTAATCTGAATTAAATRTCAAATGCAAATGTCTCAAAATTCTTTAAGAGTATAATTAAGTAATTCCTCATCCTCATAGATTTAGAAAAGATKAGTAACAGGTTAGAAGAATGAGGAAGTCATTTCAATTATTCTAAAAAGCAACWCTCATGAGTGTATTAAAGATTATAAAGTATGCCATACAAAAAGATTTAAAAGGTGATTCTCCTTTAAACATTATAAAGATGCCACAGTGGAATTCATAACTGTTTTAAGAATATTTCCATTGCTTGCAGGCTATAGACGGATTACAGAGTAAGTGAGAATTAAGTATGTACTTTGCCTAATGAGTCTAACTACAAGCCAAGCCCTGCAGAAACTGTGATCAGCAAAGTCTGGCAAATCCATTAATAAGTAAGATCTGATACTATGAACATATCTGAATGAGCAACCAATTTCAATTGGTAGAAAAAGGATCAGTCTACAATAACATGCTGCAGAACAATGTGCGTAATGATAAGGAATAGTTGAAGTTCAACACAATGCTGCAATTTCTGTGCTCACACGGTGGTTACGAGGAGCAGCAGCAACCAGTTTGGGAATGGGTTTATGGACTGAGATATAGTTACAATCACCCATAAAGTTTCTGTAAGGAAAACCTGTCCAGCTTGTATGGATATCATATCAAAGGTATCTCAGGTGTTTTCTACCACCTTGTGGAGAACTGTCATCAGTYGCTGAGCTATGTCATGTATTTGTATGGAATGAAGGAACTGGCTGAACTCCGAAGAGTAATGAATAGTAGTGTTTGGTATTTGTCTTGTAATTTGTACAAAGTGCTTCCTTTTGCCAGCCAGGAAAAATATGACTGCTTTAACCACTGATATTAGGCTTGTTGAACACAAGTATCAATTGTACTGAATATAATGAAARTAACTTAACATACCAGTTCTTGCTTCTGTTGGTGTGAGCTGACAGCAGTAATTTATTCCCAGGTCCTCCCATCAGGCTGATGGATGGTGAGAATAAGAAGGAAGGACGYGTGGAGATTTTTATCAATGGCCAGTGGGGCACAATTTGTGATGATGGATGGTCTGATAAGGATGCAGCTGTAGTCTGCAGACAGCTTGGCTACAAGTAAGAAAACTCATTAAGCTGTTTCTCAAGTTATGTTTTATGCATCTAAAAATCTTAAGTTTCTGCAACCAAATACCACAAACRTGTCTAATAAGATAAGTCTTTTAAAACTTGTCAGTTTGGCATTCTTTTAGAAACGTGTAATTCTACTGTTTGCATGAAAAGTAGTAAGGCTGTATCTTCCAAAGGAATATTCATTAAGTAGCATAATTGGGAATGGGAATGTTAATATTCAAAAGTGTGTCACAGTGACTGGCAACAGAAATGCAAGTTAATGACAGTTATTATCTATTTTTCTATTTATCTATTAGAAGTWAAACACTGCAAATCATGAATCTATTAATTAAATACAAAATTTTAGTTGCCATATTTGTTTTAGAAGCTGTGTCCACTGTCACAAGGTGTGGATACAATGACTGCAGATTCAGATGCAGGCACAGCAGCTACTGAATTCCTAGTTTAATGGGGTTTTTTTTCCTTCATTTACTGATGTAGCTTGATTTGCTACTGTAGCTTGGAGATTTGATKAACTTTTACACAAGGGATTATGGCTTCAGTCTGCATGACAGTAATTTGAATAAGCTTAATTTAACACAGGAATAGACCTGACAGAACAAATCCYGCCTCTAATTAAAACCACTGCAATATATGTGTCACTTTTGAAAGAAATCACTTAATCGGGCTTATATCACTCATCAGCATTTTTTTTTCTGGATACCCAAGAGCAGCAAAAATATAGCAACTASAGGGCAGATATATAAACAGCAGTAGTAATAAGACTTGAAAAATGTCCAGAACACTAGTGAAATACAACAGGAAATTAGTCAAATGTCTTTTCCAAGTGTATTTGTAAGGAAATTTGAGCTTAAGAAATGTAAGTCATATTAACTGCCTGTTGTACCTAACAATGCGAAGTTTGTGCAACCAAATATCATCAAATTATKTCTGAACACACAATATATGCCTTTGAAAACTGCCTGGTATTCATTTAGTAAAARCCTATTTAAAAGTTGTAGTAGACTAGGTCTTCAAAACTGCAAAACTTGACTTATTACTYTTACAAGTTACCTCACTTGTAAATTCTAGGATAGATGTCCATCTATGCCAATGCACTGGATTTCCTSATTAACAATATTACAAATAATGGTAACGCTGCACCTGAAAAGCTCAGCATCTTATTGTGCATGGTCCTATGTGTGAGGAAAGTGAGAGGAAAAGAMCTGAAGCCACTCTTCTCTCTAGGGACAGATGTGAACGGGCAAAAAGGTTGTTTCCCTAAYGGTCATACATGCAGAAATAGCTGGCTTGGAAAGCAGCAAGAGACATGTGTTTGTTAGGGGTGGACTAAAGTCAGTTCGAAAAACACATTCCAGCAAGTAACGAGCACATAAACTTAACATTTRCACCTTCAGAGATCTCCCAGTTATATGAAATGATTGTCTCTATTAAGGTGCACTTCTTGCTCAAGAACCTCATGACTTTCACATTTATTTCCTGATAAATGTTTTACAGCAGAGGTCGGTTTGGGCTTCTTGTGGTGGTTTTTATTGGTTGGTTGGTTGAGTTGGTCTGAACACGTTTCATCCCCATTATCAGCAAACTGAGAGATTACTGATGCACAGTAAGAGAGAGGCTGCTTTCATATAAATGTAGGAAGAATGAGGCAGTGCCCTTATTAAGTAACTGATAAGATTCTGCAGAGACAATTCAGTACCAAACTGCAATAAATACTTCTCTGGGGAAGGATAAGAATACTTGGTGATTCACAACAAAGTAGTTTTCAATATCCCAAGGAACTTTAGAACAAAGCCCTAAAGCAAAAACCTTGTTATTTGGATACCAATACCAGGCAAGAATTTACAATGAGTGCCTCTACTGTGTCACTGTGTTGTAACCGCAAACATGAACACATCAGCTGCCCACAGGTATCAGGGAGTTGAACTTATTCTTTTGTGGTTATCTGTAATCAGAGTATACCTCACAAAAGAAAAACATTTGGAGCAAGAGAAGTCACMCTACTTGGGACTGACAAGTCAAATCATAGTAAACTCATTAGACAGAAATTGTCCTATACTATTTCTAAAGGCAATTAAAGCTTTGGGTTTTCCAGTAAATACATCCTAGCCATGGAAATTGCAAATGTGCAAGGACAGTTGACCTCGTGGTATCATCTCTAGTCTTTTATGTGCTGCACTTTCCTGGCTTTTTACAATTCCTCTATTCCCACCAATGTTCCCTCCTTGGAAATCYTGCTCACCTGTCCTTCAGTACATAGTAAAAAAATCCACACTAGCAAAGCTGTCCATGTGCAAGTGTCAAAAGTGAGGAAGCTCCTTACATGCTACTTTCATGTTTCAATTATATGGATGTGGCAGTTGAGAGCTGGGATCAGCTTGATCCAGCCACATTTCTAGTACAATGAAGCTTTGAAAATGGTTTGACAAATCAGGATTCCTCCCCAACAGACCAAAGCTGGTGGAAGAAGGGATGTAAACTCTGAATGCCACTCTATTCTACCTCCCCTAACACTGCAGGTTTAAAGAACTACAAAAAGAGGTGTACAGGGACAGAAGTTCTTTCTTGTCTAATACATTTTCAGAGCCAAATTCTCTTTCTACTCCAGCATTTCAACACACCTGCAGTTACAGTTCTGTACACATAGAAGCAGTCCATTACAATATGCAATTCCAACAGGCCCTTTAMAAGTGAAACCTATGATATAGTGCAACATTTTAGTTATCTGGAATTCCATATATCCTTATCCCTATAAAATATCAGTAAATTGCTCTTAACCAATAGGTAAATTTGTAGTTCAGGCACACCTAGAGGTGTCTGTGGCTTCCTGCCCCACTTCTCTGTATAGCCAGGTGGGTGATCTCTCACTTGTAATTCTTTCTCACTCTTTAAACATATAAAAACAAATATCTATTTATCAGTTAAGATTATCCTAAGTAATTAACAGTGATAACCAATCACAAGAGATACCAAATGCAATACTTAAAACGCTACACAAGCACCAGGTACTGGGTTCCTCCCAAGAACAGGGGGGTGCAGACACTGAACTGGCCTCCAGTCTCATATTTTTTTAGAATGCAAATGTGGGGTGCCCTTTAAAAAAATGACATGATAACAAAGTATTTTCATAACAACTAATAGGTCTGTACATCATAGCTCTTACGGCACTACAAGTATACCGTATTTAACTGGCCCATCTTTCTGAGGGAATCAGACCTGAACAAATTATTTTTAGCATTCACAGATGCTGACTTTATACAAGGATTAAAGAGATTATGAAAAAGCAGCTTTCACATATTCTGTTTTATGGCAAAACGTAATGCTGATACAATGTAAAATACTTTGCACACTGCCTTCTAACCAGATACATAAAAGCAGTTTTTAAACATTAATGTTTACAATTTTAGCAATTTTATCACAGTTTTATTTTTCTACATACCAGAAAAAGAGAGGCAAAGAGCAGGTGGTTGTTCTCAAGTGAAAAGTGACATGGCTTGGAATGAAACCTCAAGGTCTTTCACTACTCATTTGGAAATATTTGAGTAAAACGTAGAATAATGCTGCAAAATGTTAAATTATAATAGAAAAATATGCTCTGTCTGCAGAGGTCCAGCTAGAGCAAGGACAATGGCCTATTTTGGTGAGGGCAAAGGCCCRATCCATGTGGATAATGTGAAGTGTACAGGAAATGAGAGATCCTTTGCAGACTGCATTAAACAGGACATTGGGACACACAACTGCCGGCACAGCGAGGATGCGGGGGTCATCTGCGACCACCTAAGCAAGAAAGTCCTTGGGAACAGCAATAAAGGTGAGGCCCTGTTGTGAGGGGCAGACCAACAGGTTTGGGAGGGCAACTGTAATGGTAGGAAGAGACAGACTTAACAGACCCACTTCACAGAGGATGCAGTTTTATAAAAAAGACAAACAAAAGGGGTGGGAATCCTCTCTGCTTCCACTGTGGGAGCTAATCCTGTGCAGCTGCACAAAGGAATCACCAAGACTACTCAATCGATACAGGGTATTTGTTGCCATGGTTTACAGCAGCCACGTTCATTAAGTTGCTCAAGGGACATGACAGTGAAAACTTWGACAGCTCCTTGCAGCTTTTCAAGGTATAGGTTACCCTCAGATGGGGACTGAGACCTGTGTGGGTGGCTGCTTCCTTACAGGAAGGAAGAGCCCCATAACATCCTAAATTTGAGAAGCAAATGTGTAAATGACTCTGWGATTACAGTCAAAAGAACTCAGCTACAAAGGATTTCTAAGCCTTGAAAGCATGTATTTTTCCCAATCAAAATGTGGTTGTTAAAAGCTACCATGAAACAGAGAATAACTTCAGCCTTTAGATTTTTTAAAAGTTAACTCTCATTGAACATTGGCCACTCCCCATGTTGAGTTTAACATCATCTTTCTGATCTCCCTTTCTGATTTAGATTCTCTTGCTTCTGTTTGTGGACTGAGGTTACTTCATCGTCGACAAAAGMGAATAATTGGTGGGAAAAATTCTTTACGGTAAATAATTGGTAAAGACAAATAATTTTGAATATAAAGCTTCTAAGGCATCTATTTGACAAAAGTGGTATGCCTAATTTTAGAAATTTTAAAATTTCATTGTAGGTTTGTTGTTTGGGTTTTCTTTTTCTTTTCATGATGTAGAAGTAGAAATATACTCAGCAAATTTGGTAGAAAAGTAAAGGTATTAATTGATAAATGCAGCATTATTTGAAAATCTGTAGATGCTTATGGGTTTAAGTTGTTGAATGGGTTAAATTTTTAACTTACAAAATAGTTATTTTACTTTTATCAAAGGATATTTTGATATCATCATGTGAGCTATAAAAAGAGACCTATGAATTTAGGATGAGGTTCTAAATGCTACCTGCACCAAGAAAAAGGCCTGGAYATAATTCACTGCCTAAGACCTTATTTTCCTTCACAAAATAAACATTGATGATGACAGCTAGAAAAACAGGAGGCATTGACTTTCCTTTCTTAACAGTTGTAACTAACCACAAAAAATACATACATACGCAATCTTATGAAAAGCATTGTAAAAAATACACTAACARTATCATTACATGTCACTGTGCTACTATTTTAAAGTACACACACAGCACCAATCAATCCATTTCAAAGAAGACACTGCCCGAGTGGGGGAGCTTCAAAGAACAGTAACAAGAGGGAGCCCAGAAAAAAAATTAAACACAGACACATAATGTAAAGTAGGATGAATTACCTCACACAAAAGACAGTTATAGATAGTGTTCTAAGGACACTTGGTGAAATGCAGTGATGACAAATAATGTAGTGCACAATGCAGCCAAAGCAAGGAAGCTGGTCTCACAATAAATCAGTACATGGATGTTAGACAAAGCAAAGAGGTGAGAAAAATCCAACAGTGCATGCAGAAATTCTTCAAAATTAAGAAAGAGAGCATACTTATGTATCAGAAAAGGAGTCAATGYCATAAGAAGTCATTAACACACAGAGCTTGAGGAAGGGAACTGAAAAAGGAACTGGATACCTACAKATGTATCAGAAAATCCAAAGCTGTCTGAATTACCTCATTTTAGAAAAACATATTACATCTTATCTTCCAAAACRGAAAAGTGTCTAAATTGTTTTATTCTTTATGGGAAGTAAATTCTTCCACCTTACTTTAAAACATTCRACACTGGTAGCTCTGAGATGCTAGACTAGATGATCCCCAGCAGCTCTCATTGTCCAGCACACCCATTCAAGTTGACACCACTCAGAAAACTCTCATACTACCTGTTGTTTACTCTTAGATGCTACAGGTGCATTTCTCTTCCTCTCCCTTCTCTCATTCTTAATCTATTACATGAGCAAAAAAGAATCCATCCTGTATTCATAGGTCTGCAAATATGGCCAGATCTACTATAAAAGACAGATTATCACAGGCTGAGAAAATGTGCCTATCTACACCTGAGATTTCTGCATTTGCTTTAGACCTCTTGGTTTGCCAGTGTCCTTTTTCATGAAGACAGGGATAGATGCTGAGTTCAGCTTTTCAAGAAATTCCCCTTTCACCCCTCCAGTTGACAGGAAATTTCTGGTTTGTTGWCTTGGACAGTATTTGGCGAGGAACCCACAGAATGTATTTTTGGCCCAATGAAKGAAATCTGAGAAGGGAAAATTCATATAGCTGACTGTGGGAGGAAGTGCTGGATGTCCAAACTCTCTGTGAAGTAATCTGGACCATTGTTAAAKGGAATTCTGAATTCTGCGGGAATAYARCRGTACTCACCACCATTAATAAACAGCACATTTTTTTAAGTTGAGTCAGCCAAAGAAACCCTAGAGGATTCACACTCCAGGTAACTGAGCAGGTACCTGAGCTCCCCACTGCTGTACCCTAAACCCCATGTGTCACTCCTCTGCAGGGGCGGCTGGCCGTGGCAGGTGGCACTGAGGCTGAAATCCTCACATGGTGATGGGAGACTCCTGTGYGGTGCCACTCTCATCAGCAGCTGCTGGGTCCTCACTGCTGCACACTGCTTTAAAAGGTGGGTCTCTCTTCAACAGTGCACTATGTTTCAAACTGGGTAGAAACTGTTTCAAACTGTTGTTCTGGGCAGAAACATTCTGCTTCAATCCCACGGAAAACTGTTCTGAGAGTTGACTTTGGTTATAAAAAGCCCTACTACTCAACCTCCTTTCCCTCAAACAAACAAAATACCCTAAAGCATTGAAATTATTTGGGTGTTATGCTTTATGTGATTTATATTCACAACTGTTTATGTTATGCTTTATGTGATTTATATTCACAACTTCAGCATTTTCTTGAAAAAATACAGGCAACACTTCTAATATTTTAACTTTCTGTTCCAAGAAAATGCAGCTTATGGCTTTTAGCTTATAGTGAAGACAACTGAGCAGACACCAAATGTAGGGACTGTAGCAGATCAGATTAATTCTGGCAAAAACAGATCTTGGCAYTGACAGACATTTTTACTGTATCAGAGCAGTCACTAAATGCAGGACTTCACTTCTGATGAGGTTACTGGAGTAKAAAAGCATCAACTTGCACAATAAGGAAGTTAATCTAGTATTTAAAACTTTCAACAGTGATTATTTCATTTGATTGGGTTGGGAAAAAAGCACGTAAGAGCACTACAGTTTTCAGTGCATWTGCTAGAATTTGCTCAAGTAGGCTGCAAATCTTTTAAATTTGGACTTTGAGCCTTTCCTTTTGCATACTAGTAACTAAAACAAAGACTCAGATGTTCTTTTTACTAAAATGCAGAGTGTGTTACCTTTGCTCAACACCAGATGCACATCTTTTCATGCTTCCTGAAATCAYGAAGCACTTTCCTTAGTAATATTTCAAGATGAAATAGTCAAACTCAGTAAAATTTCCTRTTACTTCAACTAACATCCCAGGTGTTTCTGCAGAACTATGGAAGCACTTCAGYTGCTTTCATCAAAATTCATAGACAATGGCCTCCTATTCCCCTGTTCATCATCTCTGTARTGATTGCCAAGGATTCAACCTGAGGTCTTGAGAAAGCCTTTGCCTACAGGTTTGARAACTGACTGTGGTGCCAAGGAGTGCCCATTTTGGATATCTGCTGAGCACCCATGTGATGGGGCAGCAGCATGGCTGCAGAGAAGTACATTGTGGTACTTCCAGACTGGTGCAGCCACTTGAGGGGCTCTCACAGGCTACCCTGAGACTGTTAACTGTGGTCTCAGGGACAGAATATTGCTTTCCCTCAGAAGTTACATTTAACTGCAATTAGACCTGTAGTGGTCCAATCCAACAGCCTGTGGATGCACTACYGTTCACAGTAAATGAGGGAAAATGCCTTCAGCTCCAAGCTGGCCTTGGACAGGCTGGGCTGAACTTACAAATGATCTCAGAGTGATTTTAAGGGATAGGTTTCCAAGACCTATCTATAGATCAAATGCCTTCTTCACATATTTTCTGCAGATGGACAGGAGAAAGGCCAGCATACCATTTCTCATATCCTGGAAATTGGAACACTGCTTAAGTAACCAAAGTGGGCTCACCTGTACTAGGGATAAAAATTAAGCATAATTTTATGCATGATGATTAGAAGTTTTACCAGTACTACAGTAGAATTACTGGTTTCCATGCTTTTGTAGATACATAATTTAAGATAAAATATTTGAAGCTATTTTTTGTTTTATAACCCCCCATCTTAGTAGGAAATTTTGTCCTGAGTTATTCCAACAGCTATAGGGAAATTGGAAGGTCTATACATTTTTAAGAAATAACTTGAGATAATTCAAAATACAAGGCATAGAAAAATCCCCTTCATTTATCCTATATAGAAGGCCATCTTCAGATGAACAGATGYTTGTTCACAGCCTTCAGTGCTCTCTCCTTAAAGCCTAGAAGTGAAACTTTGCTCATGGAAGACATGAARGAGATCTGAGAATTAGACCAAGAAAGCTTTGCAGGCAACCAGGAATGCAACCCACAACTAGAAGAGATACTCGGTGGTACAGCTATATATTACACACATATGGTTTGTCTTCCTTACTCTAAGCTCTGTTGATGTAAGAGGTTTGTATTAAGTTATCYAAGCCTCTAGAATTTCTCAACCAACCTACAAGGCAGGCCTGAACACTGTTTTCATTCCAGTAATTATTTGGAGCATTGCAATGATGTCATTTGAACTAAGTGTCAGTCATGGCAGATGACCACAAGAAACGTGCCWGTGAAAACATACAAAAAGGAACATAGCACAACCTGAAACCTTGGGAGATTTTTCTATTCTTTAGGACACACTGAAATGTCAGTGTAAACATTTGACAAAGTATTTTAAAATGCTTTAGAAACATCTCTTGCTAACATCAGTTATGTCAACAATAAAGAGACTGACGAACCCTGTTTGCATGCTCAGGATGTGACTTTGCCTGAGCAAAGCCCTATTTGTTTTCACCTCAWTCTCAGGTATGGCAACAACACTCGCAATTACGTGGTGCGGGTTGGAGACTATCACACGCTGGTGCCAGAGGAGTACGAGGAGGAAATCGGAGTCCRGGAGATTGTGATGCACAAGGAGTACAGGCCTGACAGCAGCGACTACGACATTGCCTTGGTGAGGCTGCAGGGGCCTGAGGAACAGTGTGCAAGGTTCAGCACCCACGTCTTGCCTGCCTGCTTGCCACTGAGGAGGGAGAGACCACAGAAAACTGCTCCCAACTGTTTTATCACTGGATGGGGTGACACAGGTAAAATAATTTCCATGCATAATTTCCAGTCTGGTTATCTGAGGCTGCTTTAAAAAAAAACTTCAAAAAATTAAAATTAAAAAAAGTTCAAAATGGAAACATTTCACTTTTTTTACATAGGGGAATATTTTCTCTCCTGATCCTTAACCAGGAATAACAACATTTTACTTACTGAATTTAGTTTGTGTTTGGAAAGCAGTGATTAACCTTGTCACTCTAAATCACAGACCCTGTCACTAAAATGGCCTCATTAACACAGACAAGYAGGAATAAAAAGCTTATTTGTTGCCAGGCACACCCTGCACAACAGCTTAGCATCCCCTGCCTCAGTACATAACTAAGAGCTCTAACACATTTAAGGTTTCAAAGGGAAGGACCATGAATMTTTTTATTTTAGAATGGCTATTTAAATTACAGTACTTCAATAAAAAATGGATGAGAAATAGAATAGAATTTCAAATAACATTTCAGTGTTCCTTGTTACCACTGACATTTTCAACCAGCTTTGATTTAAGCAACAGAACATCTTGCCAAAATTCACAAGAGCCACAATGCAATCTGCATTCCTGGCTTCTAGTTTTGGTCAGCACAAGATTCTTTCTCTTCAAAGGTCTTTGTCCTTTAAATGTTTCACAAATTAATAACCACGTTTTACTTTTTTTGTGGTGCTGCATACAGTGCAAGGGAGTAACCACACTTGAGCCTTTGTTCCAGTGACTCACTCAAACTGGTAAAGGAGACAAGGCATGGCCAAGCATCAGTTCCTCCTCTTTACATGCACTCATTTGTGTGCACAGGCGTCGGAGTCATTGTACTACAATGACAGAGGCGTGTAGGGTGGGTTCTTTGCTAAAAACAATTGTTAATTCATTGCCTGGCTCTGTCTAGCCTTTTTACATAATTCACTGAAAGCCCTGCAATACTGTTAACTTAGGACATCTATTTAARGAAACATTAACTACTGCAGTAATTGGCTTCAATTTATGGTAAGAAATTACATCATTGCAGTACCTCAGCTGACATTTCACACTCACTATATGAATCACAATTACCGCACCAGTTGTAAGATTTCACTTAAAAAAAGGCCAAACCAACACTGGCTTTCATTTCCCATGCTTCCAACTGAAAAAGAGGCGCAAGCTAAGGAAAAAAAAAAGCACAAATATCCATTTGGATGCACTACTTGGAAGCCACCAGAAGATGCAGCACCTGTCAGGCTGACCTAGGCTACATTTGAACTGGTGACATAGAAACTAAGTATTTCTATTGCTTTGCTCTCAACTGCTCAAGACTCCCCAAAATTGCTTCCACATATAGGGATTAAAGCATATATTCTTCTATAATATATAATACTCAGAACAAACCAMCCTCCAGCCTTGGAATGATCTGGAGAACACACACAGAAAAGCGACTTTTTTTTGAGCATCTATACTTTACACTTACTATATATATAGTATTTTAGTATCATATTTCATGCRCAGCAGATTTTTTGAGTAGTCTTGCTTTCAGTAATTTTATGTAAAGACASAGCAGTGTGAAGGGCTGAGAGCAAAAACTGGATTAAATCACATCTATGTTTCCAATACCAGCCATYGTAAATGAGACAGTAATTTGAGTCTTCTTTTTAGGACGGGCTTACTCAAGAACATTACAACAGGCTGCCATCCCCTTACTTCCCAAGAAGGTKTGTGAAGAGCGCTACAAAAGGAGATTCACAGGAAGAATGCTCTGTGCTGGAAATGTGCAGGAACAGAAACATGTTGACAGCTGTCAAGGAGACAGCGGTGGACCACTGATGTGTGAACGCCCAGGGGAAAGCTGGGTWGTGTATGGTGTGACCTCCTGGGGCTATGGCTGTGGGGTAAAAGATTCCCCAGGTGTCTACACAAAAGTATCGTCTTTCGTACCCTGGATTAAAAGTGTGACCAAACTATGAACGTCCGTAATGAAAACCAAACTTTGAGGCAGGACAACTTGAACAGCACATGCAGTGCACAGCTGGGGCCCACAGTGGGTGGAAACAGACATTTCCTGATTCATGTGTTTTTCCTTTTATTAAATCCAAGCTGTATACACACRACCCTTCCAGTTAGGGATTACTGTCCTCCCTGTTCCAGTTAAAATATTGCATGAACAAGTTACCATGTATCTARGGGGAAAAGTCATTGCCAGTTTAGAGTAACACTGGAGCAGGACAGCTGGAGACTTCACTGAGACTCACTGCCCACAAGACTACGGCTCCAAGCTATTTATGCTTAAAGCTTCTCCATGATTAATTATAGTTCGCCATTAATCTTTAGTTTATTTAATCTATTATTCCTATGATTTTACACTCAGTCCCCTAAATCTGACTCACGTTTCAATAGCTAATGAGACCATTACTATATTGATTCTTGCTAAGTAATTCTGAGTATATATTAAACACAAGAAGGGAAATAATGATCAATAATCAGATCCCCAGCTAGTTTGCTAAATGTCCTCACAGATTAGTGTGCACAAAGTACATTCCCAAGTAAAACAGGTAGTACACTGAGAGTTTCCCCACAAACATCCTGCACAGCTGACAAACCAACCACTTATTTTCTTTCCTCCACGTAAGTAACATTTGTAGTATTTCTGAAATTCATAATTTTGASTATATACAGCATTTTGGAGAGGAGTCATTGTTCCTATTTGCCTCTAGCTGTCAGTACAGTGTCACACTAACAAACATCTCAATTCTCTCATTGCTGAGCTCTCCTCAGGTAATCCTACCAGAGAAAGTTACACATTCAATGAAGTTGTTKAGCCAAAACTCAGTCTGAAGTCTGAAAAAGTCTATGAAGTCTTAAACTATGTTTTCTACACGATATTTAGACAGCTCTCTCCTGCTTAGTTGCAACACTGGTTCAGACTGATCTCACAGTAATGTTTTAAGAATTTCAGTGTCTTCTAAAGCATTGAGACACCTTGATGTTGTTCCTTTTGCAAGTACTGTTCTCCATGCTTTGAAAACCCTAACAACTTATAATAAAAATGTATTGATAASCAGCTTACTGTCCTTCTAGAAAGGGCCACCACACTGAACCCAGAACACAACACTGAAGGGCATCAATCTAGAAATCACCTGTGAACTGACACAGTGGAGCCAGGACAGCTCAGCACTACCTCTACAATCCCTGTCAAAGGCCATACTGAGTACCTCCAAGCATGCTCTATGTATCACATTAACAATCATGCTCAAAACTCAACTGAAAGCTCTGTGGGCCATGAAACACTCCAGTGTAGCAAGTGTGGCAGATGAGTGTCACCACATAGTGATTGTGCAAACTGTGATTACCAGTGACTGTTTCCCTGTTTCCYATTGCCCAAGCTGGCTATGACTATGTTGTGTGGTGTTTTGTGAARAAGTGAGGTGCATTCATGCTGTAARTGGGCAATCATTCATTTCTGTATGGTTCTGTTTCTCTGCTGTTGTAATATCCAAGACAACTCAATTACAYCTGAAGTGGCAATGATATTGCAGAAGCCCATGTGATTGAACATTTGGCCCTTAATCACTCTGACCTCAAACTTMAGCTTTCAAGGGTCATGACTAGTTTAAATTATTGTAACTGGTGCTAAACTAGTACATGAGGTGCTTGAATATATTTTAGTTCTCTGTAATTCCACACTATTTGAAATAGTGTGAAATATTTAAAACCATCAGAAATCACAGTACTGTGACCACCTGTTAGACCAATGTGAAACACCGTGCTAGTGAACTTTGAAACCATTATTTTCATTTCTATATAGCCCTTGATTAGAGGGGAAGTCAGTCTGTCAAACTTTATCTACTTGTAAAATCTGAACTTTGCTGCAAAAGACCTGCTAAGACTTGTGGTGAAGTAGACTACATAGTGCAATTTATGCGTTGTATACAGGGGAAATAAAAATCTTTTACTAGTTGCACCACAGAAACAAGATACTTTGAGGGGGAGGGAGACTTAAGCCTGCATACTAAGTGGAGTTAACTAGATTTAGTACAGTACTTTTGTTAGTTTTGCTCTTTTAATAGAATGCTTTATTAGATTTTAACTGTTGCACTGTCTCCATGGTAAGCATGCCTTTTCAGTTYATAACATAAAATGAAATTGTCTCCATCTTATGCCATTCTCGTTTTTGTTCAGTGAGCTTGATGRTGTACATGTATACAATAAAAACTGCCACACTGACTACAACTGCTGTACATTAAGTGTGGTTGTACAAGCACTGCCGCAGAGTATCAGCCGGGTAAAGCTCAAATGAGCTTTATTACCTGAGAAAGGGTGCTCTTGAAAGCATATTCCTCAAAGCACAGAAAGTTTGGGTTGTTTTCTGAGGGAAGTTTGTCCCTGAATGACATAACTCCCAGTGCTTTAACTCAGACCAGTTTGGTTGTCATAAGTTCATCCTACACTTTTRAAACTGTTTAGTGTGTTAATGGTGGCATGAACTACGAAAGCACAAGGCACTTCCATTACTAGACGAGATGGCCATCCTACACAGATGCAGCATCTATCCAGGTTCCCCACACTGTGAAGATTTAGTTAGATGCACCCCTCCTCCACTCCCCAAGGTTTTGTTAGTTTTCTGGAGAGTATACAAGTGAAGAAAACCATCACTGCAACCMCACAAAGCCTCCCTAATGTCTATCTTATCTCAATCCTGAACAACGTCCCCAAATGGAAGGGCCAGCCTGCCTGGCATTTGGCCACGTAAGATAAGCAAGTAACTGCCCTTACAGAACAGATGGTTCATCCAGAAGACCAAACTTCTGGGAGTAAAGGAAATTCACAGTACACACTCCTGATTGTTGGCTGCCAGGCCTGGCAGCCACCARCTTGGAATCCTGAGCACTAAGAATACGATATGGTAGGGCTGTTCAAGAGGAGAAATCACACACCACCAATTTAACAGGTGTGCTATCACTTATTACAGCACCACACAAGAACACACATTCAACTTAAATGTACTTCCGCTAGGGCAGAAAAAGTACATGCTTAAAAAAAATCTAATGTTTCCTACGACAGCTCCCTAATCTCCCTATCAAATACAACTGCCAGAAGTAAYTCACTCACATTTAGTCCGTGCTCTAAGTAACAGCCCACAGTTCTGCTCCATTCAAGCAGGAACACCTCAGATGCCAAACACTCAGCAGCAATCACACTGCATGCTGATCATCTCAGTTGTGACTTCCCTGATTTTGTTTCCCAGTCCGTCAGACTTGCTTTCCCCTTTTCAGTTACCAACTACTTGCAAAAAAAAGTTTATTACCTGAAGATACTCTGTAAGAGATGGCATCTGAACAGCTGGTACTCACTAAGATAGCACAATAACTTATTAGCAAAATGTTTTGTCGACTATGCAATAATTCATGAGCTACTGGATCGCCATCAGCTTTCTTAAATATGGATCCCTCAGCAACAGCAACTGAAAAGGCTGCTTTATTCCAAGTCACTGTTTTTACCCTGCAACACTTACCTCTGATTTGAGCCATATAACTTCTGGAATGGTTCCCCAGACAATGCATCAGCCTCCCGAAAACAGATCCTGCCAAACTTTAGGCCTTGCTACCACGAAGTGTACCCTCAGCACAGGCAGAACTGGCACGTGTAAGTAATTCCAACCAACACGTGCAGGCATCATCTTGGTTACCAGCACTCTTGCAAGAAAGAAACCACACTTGCAGCTAAAAACATGTCTTTTTATTTACTTATTCATACATCCAAATGCTTTACATTCRCACAGATTCCAAAATTATATCTGGAACTTCCACATTCATCTTCCAAACTTCAAAAACTYACCTTCAGCTTCTGCAGTACAGGCACACTCCTTTCCACAGCCTTTGTAGCACACTCCAAACAGCAGATGAGCCGCCCCTGAAGGTGCAGCACAGCCACGCAACTACCAAAACCATTACTCTAATTGCTTAAGGCTTAGTGACAGTGTAACAAGAGCAGCAGCACATCCCAAAAGCAGCATAAAATGAGATCCTAACTTTGTTTGTATAGAAGCAGTCAAGGCTAATTTTAGGCACAATAAGCCGGGCTCCAGTCCCTCTTCATTAAGATCAGATGAACCGCAGCAGCTCTCATTAAAGCACCAAATCTTAACTTTATTTAAAAATCGAGGTTAACAGCTAGACTAAGATTAGCTTTTACTAGCTCTGCTTGACAACTASAAATATTACTGCTCCCAAAAGGCATCAGCTCCAGACGATTCAACACATCCACCCTACCCTAAGTGAGAATTGACAAATTTAGTCACAGCTATTCCTARAATTCACATGTGGAATTCAGCCTCATCTTCTTTTGCCAAATCTCAAGTGTGTTTTTCCCCTGTAAAAACAAGTTCGAGGCAGTTTAATATTRCTACCAGAGACACAAACACGACAGCAATCATCACTGAACAGTAAGATACTCTTCCAGGATCTGTAAAACTGCTCTGAAACAAAGCTGCTGGCATCAACTTCCAATTTCCCTCGCTCCTGCAAGGTGGATTTCTCTTAGTATTCACATGCTGAAAAAGACATTCCCCTTGCACAGGATATCACTRAGAAATCTGTCCATTCAGATGCTTCTAATTTGGCAGGCAAAGTACTTGGAAACGTACCTTTTATGCTGGGAATACTGGATTATTATAGTGTTTTATGGATTGTAACTCTTCATCCAAACCCAACTCCTCCTAGTTAAACTAATGCACTTTTTTATACTTTTCTGTCCTGAAAATACATTAAAATGAAGCATTCCTTAAAAAAAAAAACCCACCAAGCATATACACTGATTTCAAAAAACAAGTCACTGTAGAGTAATCGCTAAACACAAATGATCAAATCGATATTATTCACGCCCAAATCTTCGCTTCTGAAGAGCTTATTAGCTAACACACATCCAGGCACATACTTTTCTGGGGGAGGATCTTCCACAACAGGGACGTCTTCGTACTTCCCGCTTCTGCGCTCCTATGGAATTAAAAAAACAAAATTAAAACTAGTCTGCAGCAGTTTATTGAGGGGGAGGGGGAGAATGGAGAAAACTGAAAACCAACCAACCAAAAAGCACCGAAMAAAGGGGGAGACGGCCAACCCCGCGGCAGAGTTGGTTTGTTACTTGCCACAGTCAACGACTCATACCCACAGTAGGGTAAAAGTTTTGCCAATTAGCAAGGCCCTGCTCTTCCATGCCTAGGAAGGGAGTCAGCCACGTGCGGCAGCCCCCATGGAGTCATGGATCCCCGCTCCCCACCCCGCCACCACGTGGCGGCCGCCATCTTCCCTTCCTTCTTCCCCCACCCCCTCCCTCCCTCCTGCRGCCTCCGACCCCGGGCCGCCGCACGGCTCCCACCCGAACTCCCTGTTACGCAGCTTACCCCGCCAGGGAGCTTACCTTCTGTTTGCTCCGCTGCCGCTGTGGAGAACGAGTCCGATCCGCGAGCACCGCCACCGCCACTTCACCTTCACCTCATCCTTCCCCTCCGCGCGCCCCCTCAGCGCCAACGGCCGATCCGCGCGCCCCCTCAGCGCCAACGGCCGATCCGCGCGCCCCCTCAGCGCCAACGGCCGAGCCGCGCGCCCCCTCAGCGCCAACGGCCGAGCCGCGCGCCCCCTCAGCGCCAACGGCCGCGCCGCGCGCCCCCCCACGCGGACCCCATCCCCACACAACCGACCCCACACGCGGCGGCGGCAGCAACTGGGCACTGGCGCGACCCCGGGCTGAGGGCGGGGATTCGGGCGGGGCCACGGCGCGCACCCGCACTGAGCGCGGCCGCGAGGGGAAGGCGCGGACGGGAAATAGGATCGGTCCCTCCCGTTTTGATTCCCGCTCCTTCCCGAAACCACCGAGTGCGTCCCTGGGGGAAAAATGGTTAAGGCACTCTCCGAAACAAAGCAGAGGCCTTCAGCTGCTCTAGACAGCGATGCGGCTGCATCTGTGTAGATACACGTGTATGGGTACMTGTGTGTGTACTTGGTCCAGTCACAATATGGGCCTTAGATGCTACAATAATACTGCTTGCAATCAGGAAAGCATGGATTAAAAAAAAAACCAAAAACAGTGGTCGTGAAATATATGCTAGAAAAATGAAGTCATCCGTCGGAGTGAACACAGGTTATTTTCCAGTCCATGTAAGAAACGCTGCTGGCTAAATTTCCATAGCGTAATTTTTAATTAGACTAGGATAAAATAGAACAGGCTATTTCAGTCAGAAGGGAGATCATCAGTCCAAATGCGCAACCACCTTACGGCCAACCTCAAGTTAAAGCCTGTTGCTAAAGTTATTTTCCAAATTACTTTTAAACACTGACACGCCTGGAGCATCAACCACTTCTCCAGAGATCGGGTTCCAGTGTCTGACCACCCTCTCATAAATAAATGCTCCCTAATGTCAAGACACTSCCATAATTGCTATACCTTCACATCACAGCAGCTTATGTAACTACTATTAGTCATCCTCAGTCCAGGGAAGACAAGCTCAGTCTGTGTTTTTCAAAGGATCACCTTTCATTTGTCTGAATTCCTCCTCCATTCTGGTCTCCCTAGCCCTTGGTTTTAGCTGTTCATTACTTTGCTGTTCCTGGGAGTTGCCCTTCACTGACTGTTGTGCTTTCTCCATCCATGTCGCTGAGAGAGAAAAAAAAAAGTGTCTTTTGCCTTTAAGCTCTAGGAATTCGTGTACTGGAAGAACTGAAAAAAAATACTATATGAAAGTAGATAAATCAGAGGCCAAAAAGGTATTATTTGTAGCAAGGATCTCTCCCCTTTTCTTACTACCTGTTTTCACTTTACTATTTGTTTAAGAGATTACAGAGATGGGTATTATACAAGAAGTTTAGACTCGTTAATTTTAAGTTGCATCATTTCTCTGTAATGAATGCATTATTTGGTTAATGTAGGTTTTTTATTTCCCACACTTCTAAGCAGCTTTTGCCCTGTTAGATAAGYAGGTTTTTATATTCTGTTCTGAATTTGTTGATAACAGTAAATTTTCCTTTGGCCATTCATACCATCTTTAGAGGTTTCTCCAAAGAAAGCTTTTCTCACGTCTGTGTAGGCTGATGCATTGGCACAGCTATTGAATTCCCAAGGCAAATAATTTGAATAAATTTTGCTTTTATCTTAAAAATAGCAAACTCTGGAGATGCTTCTCCAGTGCATTAGTAAGTRCTGGCACAAGAAATAAAAAGTAAGCAGGAAGAAAAAGCAGTAAAACAAGCAGCTGCATAAAGCAGCAATATTCACTCACAGCAAGAGTAAGCAGTATTTTTCATTTCTGAAAACATTTCATGCTGCTCCTGTGCTGCTGGGTTGTGTTGTAGCTCAGTGTCAAGCTGCAATAGCTGCTARCCAACCTGGAAAAGGACAGCTTTTGTGAACATCAAAGTCACTTCCACACAGCACTACATTTTCTTATCAGAGTTTATTGTTGCACTTCAAATACCATGCCACTATCAGAATAATATCTATTTTTTTATTTAAAAAAACTCTGAGAAAAATGTTTCCAGCAATYTTCATTCAATGTGAATGACAAAAGTATTACATCTATAAACATTGAAATATCTATTTAATTTCTTCCTGAGGAAGTTTCACATTTTTAAGCAATGAAAAAGGATATTCTGTACAAGATAGTCTGCAAATCATTCAAACTAATTCTTTCTGCACAAGTAGAACTGGGAAAATGTCACAGTATTCTCAGGAATGTTTGCTCAAATAATGAGGTGATTTCAGATTAGGCTCTGTGTTTACACCCCGAAATGGTCAATATCTTTTCAGAACCACAAGTTACTTTTTAATGGCACTGATGTCTGCAGAAAGCAAATTTCAGAGTCATGTTTACAAAAGCGAAGATGAAACTCACACATTCAAGCATTTGTCAAAGAAATTGCTTGTGCAGTTACCTACCAGGGGAACAGAAACCATGGCTGTGTTTCCAGCCACAATAAAACATCCAACTTGAACTGGCAAACAGATTCGTTGTAACAAATCCATTTTTTTAGGAGTATTAATACTGATAGTCTATTTCTGGAAATCAAACACTGGTTGCAGGTGAGCTGTGAACAGAAGAGGTGACAGTATCAGCTAACTCGTACAGTATAATTTGGTTACTCAGCTGCACTCTGCATTTCCTGACACACACCCAGCTGCTCTCTGCATGCTGTGCTCAGCCTCCTCCTCCTTCACCAAGCTGGCTTTTAAAAGGCTCCTGTTAAATGTAAGAACACATTTAAATAGAATAGCTGTGGAATAAAAACCCCCATGGCTTCAAACCATTCTTTTACAAACAAGTAATCAYCCACCCAAGGCCAAGGCCATGCATGTAGAGAGGACTTACTGTCCCTGAGCCTCATGGTGACCACAGATGGGATGTAAAATTCCCCAGGGACAATGTGACCAATGTAACCACTCAGTCCTTGACTGCCCACTCATTCTGTGAGGGCCTTGCTTTCCCAGGGAAAGACGACAGAGAGGGAATTCTTTCAAACAAAGAATGTACTAGGAATGTGGCTGGAGGCCATTCCTCCTGGATGTAGGAGGCACTCAATCTGTATTCTCACCCTTGAAAACATCAGGCACTTGATGCCCAAGGTTTTTCCCATTTTCCTCTTCTRCAACATTGTTACAGTGAAGAACATGGAGTAACTGAGGCAGCACYGCACAACATGAGCTTCGTGCAATACCTGCATTTTTAAAATGTTTGAGTGATGTTACACCAGGTTGTATCAAGAGTAAAATCAATCATAACGAGATGAAAACCCCAGGTATTTTCTCCAGATATTCAATTTAGCTGTAACAAATCTATATGGATGCTTGCAGGATGCATGAGCTGTCCATAGCATGCAGAGCATTTGCTTTTACAAACAAGATGTTCAGAGTCCAGAGTGTTTCTTTTATCAAATAAGAAGTACTTTAAGACAAGTCATCTTTTGAGACAAATCCATATAGCTGAATATTTAAAGTGAAATGAAATTCTCATTCTAATAAATAATAGAGATGTTCATCTTAGAAAATGTCTACTCTAGTAGGTCCTCACCCTTAATCATGCATATTCCCTTAGCAAAAATGTGCTGTGTAAAGAATATTGTTATATACAGCAAATTTGTCTAGATTTTTTTCTTTACAGGCCTATCAAAACCACTTATTACGCAGACAAAATCAATAAATAATAAAAGATTACCAGTTAGAGGTACAGTAAGGATCTCAACATGTGTTTTCTATTTAGGGAATAACAGACTGCTTTCCGTTCCATTACCTTGAAAGTTAAATTATATGATTACATAAATGTCATAAAACAGCACTGAGACATAGGAAGTTTTTCCACCKTTTGATGCGTGTTTTTAAGTATTCACCCTAAAACAAATGATGAAAACATTACAGAGCTACTGAATAAAGCCTTGCATTTAGTACTGTAGTTCCCTTTGTTTTCACTAACCCTTCATGCCTTTAGAAACACCCAGAGCCAAAGTTCAAGGACAAGCATTAAGGCCACACTCAGCTGAAGTTTCCAATCATCTTCTTCCTGAACTTTTAAGCACTRTTAATTAGACTTCATCTCACATCTAAACTGAGAGATGCACTGTTGAAAACCATCACATAAATATCTGCTGCAAGGGTAGATATTTGTGTTTTCCCATGATTCAAATCTAATTTTTTACCATGACTAAACATTGTGTTTATTATTTTCCCCTCTAAAGCATATTCCTAATATTTAATACCAAACATGTTTAACATGTCTGAAAACAGAACTGGTATTTTCATCTGGAAATTTGGTAATTTTTGCAGCTGATGTTAACTGAAGGTTGCAGAAAGATGCTACAACTCTGATCAGGTTGGGAAAAAAGCATAGGTTAAAGGCAAATAAATTAAGGAAAAAATAATGGTGCAAATTAAGGCAATAAAAGTAAGGATCTGTTTCTGCTTTTAATGAGTTTTTCATTAATTTCAGTGAAGTCACCCCTGACTCACAGCAATGTAAGCCCCGAGTGCCATGTCCTGGCTGCTCACAGAACCAGTAGTGAAAGCTTCCTCCTTGCCCTTCTCCAGTTTGGATCACAATTGTTGAAGCCTAATAATACTGCAACCTGTGTGCTTCACAAATCCAATTAATTTTCTGCTCAGATAATTCACATCTCAGTCAGTACAAATCAGACATCAATTACAGACCAAGGTTCTTCCCACATTGTAAGAGTTTGTTGTTGCAGGATATAATCCCAGGTTTTGCTTTGCATGTTTGTGGTTTTCTTTGTACACCTGTGGATTCCAGACCTTGCTGGGTGTATTTGTGGCCATGCACAGCCTAAATGRTACATGATAACTGTACTGCTCCCCTGTATTTACACACAATTTGGGCATTAGCAAGCTGATTCCAAAGGCAGAAGTACACTTGGCATTTTGTGCTACATTAAGTTTTCTTACCTTATGTAACACAATAATCAAATAGTAAGAAAAACGGTCAGCGGTCCAACAAAGGGCTACAAAACGTACATGAGACACAATAGTTTTAAACTGATCTATAAAAACGTGAATATTTACTGTGAAATTGGACAGGTCATGTATCTCTGACGCTTAAACCAGTTGTAAATAACTTCCACATATGTGCACAGTAGTCCACAAGTCCACAGACCCAGAGAGGTTGATGAGAAAGATGTGGCCCACCAGAGCTCTAAGAAACACATGTATTTGTACAATCCACATGCCAGCATATGGAAATAATTTCTACCCTTTACACTTTTTTGAAGAGGTATATCTTACAAGACCTTCTGGTAGCTGCTGCAAAGTTTAGGTATGATGACTGAAGTGTGGAAGGGAGATTTCAAACAGCWCTTTTCCAATGCTATCTCACTTTCTGTAGCTCCTGTCTCAGCCACGACGGCAGGGGTTGTCCCAGTTTGTGGAGGAGTTTTGACAGTTCCACATTGTGATCTCTGTAGTAGCTTGACAGAAAGGCCCTGCACTGATGGATACAAGAGGAGGGGGTTTTATTTAATAAAATGCTGTACGGCAGTTGCTGTAAATTAGAGATTCCAAAGTTAGACCTGTCTCAAAATGTTACTTCCTCTTACGTGATTTATTCTGTTTTATGCTATCTACTGCATTCAAGGAGCTGAACTCTGAAAGGTAATCTCAAGGGGAACAAAGGTTGGCCACAATGAACACTGAASTCAAAGCAGAATYTKATTCTGCTCTAAGTCTTGYCAATTYAGAATCACACAAGGTGATGCAGAYACTTTTATTGCAGTGTGATTGAAAKAACAGCTTCTAAAATATMTTTATATGTAGACATGTATCAGTTAGCAATCCCCATTTTCAGAAGTATTTAGAGTTGAAAAAGWCAAGAGTTTGCACACAGTCTTATCTCTGACCAAAGTTCTTCTTACCCAAAGATTTTGTATCATTGTGTAAGAATTGTGTACGACTCTACTGATGTCAAGTTACTTATGTGAGAAAAATTCCCATCTTACCTTGTACATTAATTCTTACTGCTGGTCAAGGTGTACATTTTTACTTGCATTTTAGTCAGGCTACATCAAATGGCAACGCAGGACAGAATCAACATAAAAGTCAGAGCTAGAATAGRAGACTAAARWGCCCTTGGGTACAGTTGGCAGCATATGATCTGACCGAAATTTCCTCATTTGAGCATTTGTCAGGGAAGGTACTCATAACATTCACACAAACAGAACCTAACCTCTCTTAAAACTGGATTATGGGGGCTGTGCATTACTTGCCCCAGTCTGACTAATCTCAAAGCCAAGGGACCACACAAATACACCCACCCATCTGATCATGACTGAGAAGAAACTTGCACTGTGGAACCTCTGCTGCTTAATCCATAAGGTAAAGGTGACAGGCTTCAGAAGGACCATGTTTAGTTTTCTAAGGGACGCCAAGTTGTAGAATTTGTGGGTTTTTTTTCGTTGCTGTTGTTTTTCTGATGACTTAATCTTCACAGTGGAAATAAAGAACGGAAAGATAGCACTCCACAGCTATCTTAAACAACTCCTTTGTAGGGGAAGGTAGTCAAATAATTAACACCTACTTATAATTTTGCCTGTGTCATGTCCCGTATATTCCAAGTGAATCCCTGTACAATGCCAGTGAGCAGAATGGTTTACCTCAGAATCCATAGGAGGGTATTTTCTGCCTTTGCTCTTTCCAAGACACTTGGTTTTTCCTTCTTCCAAGAGCTGACACCAGAATCCTTTATGCGAATCGAACCTGMAACAAACATTGTGCAGTATAAAATTTGTGTGTAACCAAATMCAGGRGTCAGAATCCAAAGRAGGGRATGTTACATTCTTGATTGAAATKGTTGAATCCATTTTCCAGCTAATGWCTAAAATAAAGAGAATTATTCTATTTTATTTCTGTTTATGCATATCAGCATTTCATGTTCCACTTACAGAAGTAAAATTCCTTTTGATCCATTCAAAATTCATATTCAACTCTCATAAAGCAGTACTTTGTCTGTCTGTCACAGTTCTACTCCTGCAACAGCCAAGTGGCTCAGTGAATGATTCATAGAAGATTTAACCCCAATTTGTGTTCTGAACAATTCACCACACTGACAGCTCAAAGGAGTATGAGAGGCTTTGTTCTTATAGACAGACTGGTATTTCAGAATGTAGGAACACGTGAAAATGATGAACTAATTAACTCACGTAAGGGCTTCAGAGTAATTATAATGAGGAGAGACTCCCAGAAATTTCTGTACTTCATCCATTACTGTAGATGGGTCAGTTCTCAGCTGCTGTCCATCAATAATGAGCAACTACAACAGAGAAAATAAATAGAGGTTTAATTTGAAATTCATTATTTCAGGCTTGCAACTGAAACTTCCACCTCTGTTGAACTCCTTCATTACATGGGGAGTGCTGCCCCAGGAAACAATAATGGCCCAAGYCTTAATTGTCATCATCATTAATGACCTGGGAGCACAGTAAATAGCATCTTAATTAAATCTGGAATTATATTGCATTGGAAGCTGTTATGACAAGASAGAAATAGCAGTGAAGGGTCTAGAAAGATAAGAAATACTGGCAGGAAATTGARAGAGATTGGTTCAGCCAAGAAAAAATTATATTAATGGCTACTACTTTTCCAGATAAAACATAAGGCTACCAGGGCTGGTTTTTCCCTATCACTGTGGGATGTAAAATCTGGCAAAAATCTGCATGACAATGCATATATTCAATATTTGTAGGTTACTCGTAGGGAAAAGGTAATGAAAACATAATGAGGAGAATTTCATAYGAGAATCAGGATATTACAACATTGYGTGTCTCATGAAGAGMGATAGAAGGCTGGCTGAAAAGAGAGTATGTGGAGAATAACACCAACTAGATGCATCAGAGCTTCCTTGGCACACTCCRGGAAAACAGAAGGTGCAGCCTGCAGCCAACTTGTCTCAGCTACAAGAGCCCTGGATAAACAGAAGGTTGGGATTGCAGCCAACCTCCCTCTAACTGTGGGGTGGGGAGCTGTGCCAGACACGCTGCCAGTGTCACAAAATCCCATTCCAGAAATAAATCTCCCAAGGWGATACTGCTCATGTGATATTGACTGCCTGCTCTGGTGTTATCACATGATGTTCAGGGCTTAGGATGTGCATCTTTTGAGGCTTGATCTTACAYGGGGCCAGAAGGAGGGGAACAATTTGTAGGATATCCCTGAGATCAGCATTCAATAGGCAAGACTTTCACAAAGGTAAACTTTTAGGACAGTAAATGTGTAGGATTAGGATGTCAAGAGTCATTCACCTGGTAAGGTGGGAAGTAAGTGAGCCATCTCTCAATGTGGGTAGCATACCATCCAGGTGCCAGGCATCTCTTCTGCAGAGCTCTCAGCTCAGAGGGGGCTCGAGGGCCGGCTGTGATCACCTGATAGAAGCTGAACTTCAGAGCTGCCGGGTCTTCGTGGGATCGCTGATGCTGTAAAACAAGTGACCCTGCTGAAACTTTACAGAACACAAAAGCTGGCAAAATAAGGCCAAACTCTTACAAAATTTTTTAATCTATCTTGCATTTTGAGCATAAACTAGATAACTGTGTCTACATATAAATTTCTTTATGTGCTKATTACACAAATTAATTGACTAAGTAACAATCTTTACATGTTTAAATTATAGGTAGACTTGAAAAAGTGGTTTCTGGTATTTTAACCCTTAAAAGATGACAGATATCTCAACCCATGGGTGATCAGAGATGGTCACTGGCTTCATACAGATATATCCTGAGGATTCAAGGTGGAAACTTGGATTTGTGCCTGCCCACGTTCTCCCAAGAGCATACCTGGTACCAGGAATAGGCCCGGTCGGACGGGTCRATGAGGATGGTGATGATCTTGGCCTTGGGGATGAGGGAAGCAGCTCTCTTGGGAGCTTCCTCCGAGTGGAAATAGTTGGCACTYTTCTCAAAGAGGAAGTCAGTGGTGACATTAGAAGGAGTGGGAAAGAAATCCATGTACCTGGGAAAGCAACATCATCCTCAGAACTCCTTAAAAATCACTCAAAGGGCTGATAATCTGTTAAGCATGTTTTACTCTAGAATACTTAATTAAAGTAAAAGCCTAAAAGGCAAACAGAAGTTTACATTATATTTTTGATCATATTTTACTTTCTACTAGCTTTCTTCTCACTACATATAGCTAGACATTGCAGCTATTTTTTTTTAAACTGGGTATTTATATACCTCAAAATTAGCAAGTTCTCACTTTTCAGTCAGAACAAACTGCTGAAGTGCAAAGTARAAACTGAGTTTTCCAAATCTGGCCTTTTGCTGACATCAACTGAAGTGCAATACTGTAAGAAAAAGCTACTTAGWATCAGAATTGCTTTGACTCAAAAAAATAAGAGCCTGTTTGTGCCAGGAAGATGCACTGAAACAAGGCCTCWCAGCCTCATCCGGTAAAAGGTTTCTAAGCAGTGACAGAATAGTTTACTGATTTTTCTATGAGTCACAATTTTGGGAAAATTGAGTTGTAGTCCTTTTASTTTTGTTTGTGAGCTTTCCTCMYCCATTATGAARTTGTAATTAAATTCCACCAATTGCWGTCATTTAAGGACTTCTTTATYMCATGTTCWTAGACTACTTMTCATTACTAATGGGGAGAAGAACAAATGAGAAATTTTGGCCCTCTTGACTTTTCAGTTGACCTGTACTGAGAAAATGAATGTTATTTAAAACAGCCTCTTCTAAAGACCATGCTTAAGGGCTGAGAATTCTCCCAATGCTTTGACTTTGTTCAATTCATACACATGAGCTACTTCTACAAACGTGCTCTTGTTGCCTTTCAAATTGTAACCACTGCAGTCAATGGACTCTTATTTCCYGAAAGTTATAGCGCAGATTTGATGAGAATGATGAAGTTGTACCCGTTTTTACTCACAAAACTATTAGAAGCTAATGACTCAGCCTCACTGTGTGGCCTCAGAATGCTTTACTAGAACATCAACAGCAAAGGGCACCTTTGAGAGAGGCAACAGGCACTATCTGTTAGGGCAAATCTGCCCTAAATCATGTGTGGAGTTATTATCACGCTCTTGTACTGAAGTCCTGGAAGTAGAATGATTAATACAAGGCAGCAAGGACTAGAGGCCTTTAACATCAATGTGACACTACACTGAATTTTGGAAATTAAAAATGTAAATTGATTCTTTAGTTTACATGGAAAATCTGGAAAAAGTGACAAACTGAAAGAGGTTGCAGCAGGTGTGCTATCAAGAGGTTTCAAAGTTTAGAGTCAGCATTTCTGCTGGACAGGRACTGCAGAAGTCTTGCTCAGTCCCTCATTCCTGAGACAATTATTAAATTCAGTAAGAGMAAGGCTGAGAAGTTTAGAGAAACCTGTTTAAGGAACCAGTAATCATGCTTACATGAACAAATGCAAGACTGTCTATTTGGACTTCTCCATCTCAAACACAGCAGGACCAGTTCTTATCTTACTACTATGTCATCTCTACTGGAAGACAACAATTTCCAGCTATACTGCTTTCAAAATGGCAATATTGAGGTTCTGAGGGCTAAAAGAACCCCCTTTCTGCTTCTGYAGYTGGCCTTGCTCTAAATCCAAGCTCRGACAAAGACTAAGTCAGAGTCAGCTCCAGGATAAAACTTTATCTCCAAAACCGTCAATGAAAGTGAACTGATTGTTATTTGTGATTCTTGCAAGAATCACAGCCAATTAATGRACTAATGAGGAGAGCCCTTGTATCCAATTACTGACTGGTAAACTCATTACAAGCCAGCATTAAAATACACTATCAGACTAGGCAGTCAGAGAGATCTGTCTGGCAGCCAGAATGCACATCTAAGAATTAAAACACCTATGCCAACAAGGAGTTCTGAGGATCCAAGACTTGACTGTGAGAACCTGGCAAGGGTGGTGGGGCACAGAGTGGGTGCTGTAGTGAGAACCTGTCAAAGGAACGTGCCTGCTCTAGGCAGGCTGGCCACTGTGAGCTTTATGCACCAGTGCCACTYTAAGATGAAGGTCATCTGGCATCTGTGTGGCAGCCAAATTGCACCTGCACCTTATGGAAGTGGATAAGGCAGGAGGAAAAAGAAGCAGTGAAAACAGTGAAACAACATGAAAACAGTGATTTTGTGGAAGAACTRGCTCACTGTGCTCAGTGTGGAGCTGCTGTGCCTCACCTGCACGTCACCCTCAGTGATTCCAAACGCCTCAGCAGCAATTTCCCAGCCCCAGTCATTCACCCAGCACCTCTCTATTGGCACAACTGGCTGACTCACTGCCTTCCCAGTGACAATCTGCTGCAGCAATTACAACTCTGTGAAAACGAGTGGCGTGCTAACAAATTGGATCTGATGTGTCTGCACTGAGACCACAGAACAGCRTTCACCCTGTTAATTTTATGGATGAATACAAAGTCAAAGGCAATAAAAGTATTCCCTCTTACTGCGGGCAAACTAAAGAAACAAGACAAGAAATCAATAATCCTTGCCTGGTGCTCCCCAGCCACTCCAGCACTTTACCAGCTTTCATGCTGCAGTGCTTTACAGGGCAGCACTTGGTGAAAGCAGARGAACCAGGAGTGACCTTTGGGTGTAGCTGTGCCTGGGGAATCGCAGGGAGCCACAGGGAGGATGGCAGCAGGGGCACAGGCTCTGTCTCAGCACCACTCACTGACCCACAGAGACACATTCTCCTAATTACTGCTCTTTAGAGGGGTTTTCCCTGTCCCCACCTTCACATTATTACTATTTCTATATCCTGTTTAAAGGAAAAAATGCTTCCCCTGATATTATCTTTTTTTTTCTCACAAAAAATTTCCAGCAGGAACTTTTGTGTCCATATATCCAACAAACAATCATTCCTCTCCTACCATCAAGGGCATGTGTAATGAAGAATGCATACTTTGTTACTGTTTTGCATATATTAATATCTGGATATTTACAGGAAAGTCTCACAAAAGTTAGTGCGTTTATGATATGCTGTAGTAAGATCATTATTCAYTTGCATTTATTTCTCATTTCAGAAGGACACTGAAGGTTATTTCTCATCTCACTTTATATATGCACAGTTACCATTACCAACAGAAATGTCATTTTTCTATTGTTCACAATATATAAACTTTTATATTTATACTAATAACCCATCTTACCAATCAATCCCCCTGTGGTAGTTATTTCTATTAAAGAACTGTACCTCCTCAAAGGTTTTTGGGCTGGGGGAGTTACTAATGATGGAAGGATGCATGATCAGGAACAAATACAAGGCTGTAGTACCTGCAAATAGGATAAAAATCCAAGATTTAAAATAAAAATACACATACACACATTTTGGGGGGGATTATAGCTGCAAATGGGACTAAACCAGCTTTATTCCACTTCATGATACTGAGGAGATGTTTATTTACATCACCTAAGATCCTGTGTTTTCTGAGCTTTTAGAATTAAGACATTTAAAGAACTGTAAATAGTTAACACAGATACTGGAGCACCAGAACTAAAAGCGATCCTTCCTACTTAAAATAGCAGTGTTTTAAAAATAATGACTGCTTTATGTGAAACTGCCACAAAAATAATTCAAAAATCTTGCACTCAGTAGCTATTGGGGATTGCTGAAGATGAAAGGAAGCTTACATGYGATCTTCTGATTACAGAGAAGAAAAATAACCATTGAGTTAATTGATAAACTACTGCAATCTTGTAATTAAAACTGTCCAKTAGGAACTTCCTGACTTGAAAAAAGAGCCAAGAAATAACAAGATTCTATAAACAAGACACTCGCAGGACAGACARCTTGCAATTCACAACCCAACCCATCTGAAACATGTCTCTCCTGTCCTTTCCTTTCCCCACTTTGACAAGAGCTTGTCTACCCTGTTAATCTCTTTATCAAACTTTACTCATGTTGACATTAAGCCCCGAAAAATCTGACAAACACCTGAACCCTGCATTTTCAACGTGTCCTGTGGGCTGCTGTAACTTACATCATTAAACTATATTCGCATGTTATCTGAGAATTAAAAAATGCTGTTTGATGACCAACATCTTGACACAGCAGCCCGAGCTAACAGTGATTAATTGTTATACTTATTTGAACTTACAGCCTATCCTGTTGGAATAKAAGAAAATCTCACCAGTTTTCTGGGGTCCTACAACCAAGAATTTTGGTAACCGATCACAGGTTTTTTCCTTAGACCAGATATCTCTGTGCCGTTTGTCATCACAGGGGTTCTAAAACAGAGAAGAAAACTCAGACTTTCATTGGTTATCACACTTGATAAAGTTCTTACATTACTCTCATATAAAAACTACCTATTTTTCACCCACGTACAAGTATTCTTATCAGAAATTATTTTTCCATATGGCTGAAAACCAAGTTGTGTGTTCCAGAACTATTCCAGTGACTCAGAACGGTATTTCCCATGTAACCARGTCAGAACCTGATTCTCTAAAGTGTTTGCAGTTTAATTTAAGGAGAAGGATGTTGAAGAAATATATTCCATACATATACAGTTGTCCCAGTTATCCTACAGACTCTGGGTCAACTCCTGCTCAGTGGGGGTATGCCAAAGACAGATTTGATCTCACATACATGAGGTGTGGGAATAATTCAAAATCAATCAATCAATTACATACAAGTTAGGAAGACTTGAATTTGCTAATGAGTTATCGAACTARTGTCTTTTTTTTACAGTCCTGTAACAGCTACTGTGCTATATATGCTGCAGTTTTAAAACTAAGAGCAAATTAATTAYGATTTAAGGCTTTCTATTCACAAAYACATATTCTGATCCTCCAATTCAAATCAGTACATAATATTAAACTCTGGGGTTTTTGCTCCTTTACAATTGGCTCAGTTGAAATTTTTTCTGAAGTGCTACTCACAAAYAGTTTTTGACACTGCTGTTTGGCAATATTGCACTGAGATGAAGGGAATTATCTGCATGAACCCCATTAAGGCTTGAAACATACACCCGTATTGAAAATCACATGAATTATGACAAAATACACCCCATACAGTATGTCTTAGTTATTCTAACTTCCAAGTGTCTTTTCTGATTAATTTTAATTTTCCAAGTAATTGGGCTACAGGCTAATTTCCATTTTAAAAACCATTCTCTTCTTAGTATTATGCAAAATCCTTGACATTTTCCCCTCTAGTTCAATGTTTTATTCAAAACCAGCATGAATTTCAAGATGCATATTTAAGTACAAATTTGCAAACTCAGACTTTAAGCTGGCAATCCAATATCCAAGRCTGGAAAACATTTGAGTAAGCAAGCTTAAATACATTTTATGTTTGCTTTAGTAAAGTTTGCTCCTTAGAGTATTTCTACCAAGACACTTTAAAAGGATTATATTTGGGTTTATATAATCACTGTCAGGACTCAGGTACCTACAGCTTCTTGGCAAACTTCTTCCTTGGGCAGTTCTCAGCTACTGTGATTAACTTTGTTCTATCTAATCTATTTCTGCTTTGTTAATTAGGGTATCCATGGTCTTAATGCTCTTTTCTCTTTTTGGATGCCCTCTTTAAACACTTGGAGAAAAGTTCATTTCTTTAATTGCTAGAAAATGCATATAAATCTGTCAAATGCTTCATTCCTGTTCATTCCAAAAGGAGAGGAGAAAKAACACAATATGCACTTTCCTGCCTTTCCTTGCATTTTTACAGCAAGCAAAGTCACAAAATTAATTAATTTTAATTACACGTCTTAATGCATATTAATTTCACAGCCTTTTAYAAGTGACAGGAAAACACAATCACATCCTGAAGCTTCAGCAGGTGCGTTATGGAACCAACTTAAGAATATGACTGCTTTTCTCTACAAGAAACTAAAATAAAGAGTTAAAAAAAAAAACAAACTAACAAACCACTATCAAGACCAATTTTTTTTTTCTGAGAGATCAGACATCACCTGCCAGAGAGGGTCCTTCTGCTCAGGGAATAGCTCAAAATACTTGTGAGCCAGTTGGAGYGGGGGAAGGGTTTGCAGTTTCAGGTTTGTCCAGGTATGAACGAAGTTGGCCAGATTCACAAAGGTGTACAAGCCCAAGCGGTCGTTCCCGTAATTAGACAAGTGTGTCATGAAGATGCTGATCTGTGGGAGACAAAATAACAAAATAAAGAGCACACCTCGAGACTGTGCATCACTAGATGGCAGTGCAGCCCCGGTAATAGAAATCTTATTTGCATTTTGCTCCTGTTCAGTGCAGCCAGCCTTGGATCACATTGACACAGCCCTTGCCACCCTTGTCCTTCATTGAATTACATCCTTCTGCTCAAATCAGCTCAATGCAATCAATGAGGAAACGCTGGAACAGGTCCCATGAGCTCTGTGAGCAGCAGGATGTGCAACCCTAGCCTGGAGTTGGGCAACGCTGACACCTYTATGTGCATTTACTTCACAGGATAYAASAAAACCAATGCCCACRGCYTTCCTTTCAGAGGAATACAAACGCAGTGTTAAAAATGTGATTTCTGTTTTTGTGAAGAGTAAAGAAGTCAGACTGAGGAAGCAGCAGAGCTCTTTTGCTGTGCCTTTAATCTTGTGGCTGCAGGTCTAAGTTGTTTMGAATAAGTAGCTGATCCCTTTTATAAATCAGCTGATGAGTGGAATAGATACACACAGATGCAAGGAGTGGCTCTCAGGGACTGAGGAAGGACTCAAGAGCAAAACCTCTAGTTTTTAAAATGAACCTTTCCAAGGTCATTTTTCACTGATGTAACAGTGTGATCTCACATTGAAATCTGCAAACCCTCGCCTCTTTACCACTGATTTCCTTCTTGAAGTTCTTTTTAAAGTAGAACTCTCCCAAGATAAACTTTCCAGACTAATTTCCATTAAAAAATTAGAAACAAGACTCTTTTTATAAATAAATCTGCCAATGTCATGAATGAGCAATTTCTATTTAAAGCAAGACCTGATGTAAGCCTCTTTAAAAAAAAGAAAAGCTTATCATGGTCATAATTCTGAAATTAGTTCAGAACCTGAAGTTAATCTTCTGTAAAGGAATTCCAGCCCTCAATTTAAAAAAGGAAAAAGAAAATAATGAAAAGMTGGTATTTACAGTAAAATTACAAGATACACACTGCTAGATCACTAGGAGATCATCTTTCTTTGAAGGKAGGACTGAGATTGAAAACCTCTTCCCTTTAGGCAACCAAATTTCTAACCTTTTCAAGTTCCCTTTTGTATTTCAGTTCTGAAAGCAGGAACAGAGCAGCCACAGGACTATGTTGTTCTCACTACAGATAAAATCAGCAGGTTTCCATAAAGAAGGTTAACTTGCTTTCTTGACAGCCCCTTTCTTTCCTACCTGTRGGCTGACCTCTGACATTTTTAATGTCAATTCTCCTCCTGGCAACTCCTCACCTGCCAACAGCTACAGCACTGCCATGAAAGAAAAAGTGAGGGAAGCAAAAAGATTGCAGTTCAGGGAAAATATTATTATTCTTTCCCTGAAGAGAATATCACTGTAATTTTAAGAATGTCAGTGCAGGCTGAGAAATTGACTGGACAYATCATCATAAATAATTTCCAGCRTATAAAACTGTGTCAGTGAAGGGGAAAAATTATCAGAGACCTAAGCTCCCATTTTAGTTATGTTTTTTTAAAGTAAAATACTTGATGGTTAATTATTTACAATAAAAAGACGATCAAATGCTGGTTCAAATGGCTGAATCTTGTAAAGAAGTCCATAGTTAATCAACCAGATACATGATCTAAAACATGACTTTACATGGTATAAAAGATCTCCTCTATATGGCATCAAAAATACCCCAAATGAGCTGAGAGGGATGGTGGAGAACTCCCCACTTCCCCGTGCAGAAGGATGGGCAAAACATCATTCCCCTGTCATCTGCAGGTGGTGCCATTTCGCACCACACAAAACAAAATGATTACTTTTCYCCTTCCTTACTGGGTTCTGATGCTTTGATTTGCTCTACGATACCATGCCCTGAGTCATTCAAACAAGWTCTAATTAAGAACAATCATTATTCTTTCTCTGCAACTAAAAGCATGCTATGCTTCTGAAGATTTACTCTCTTGGAGCCACCAATCAGGAGACATAAAAGGAATCCTCTGTGGCCATCTCACAAGGCTAGACCTAGTAAATAACACTATTTGTTCAATAATCTTCCACCTCTGGGAAATGCTGTAAAAAACAGACAGAGCTTCATATATTTCTTTATTCCTCCTTCAAAAGGGAGGCAGTTGTGAATGGATTTATATTTACTCAAACAAGCATTTTAACCTCCCTTTCAGATAAAAAGAGCTTATTTGATTTTATTATTTCCAGCCCTCTTCTCAAATAATTTCTTTYGGGCATCTCAGCACTTTCTTTATTTCAGTGCAGAAGGATCACCCTTTTTTAGCTGTTCCTCATAAACAAACCATCATCTTGGTTGCACTTCAGTGCACGCTCTCCACGGGATTTAATATCCTTCACGAGGGAACTGAAATGGAATGCAGACAATTTTTAAAATGATAGTTTGGGACTAAATCCAGCCTCTGGGCAGCAGCTCCTTTCCTGCCCTCASACATTTTCAGATCAGAACAGCAAAAGTGCTTTCCTGTGCTCTGCCTTCTCCTTCCAGCTTCTTCTCAGCATTTTCTCCTTCCCCAGAGTAAAAGGGCAGAGGTCTAAGTTATGTTTGCTCTCCTTCCCCAGTCCTRATTTTATGTGGGATTCTGACTGGTACTGCAGAAAGGCAGGGAAATGAGAACAAGCACTCAGGAGAATGAGCTTTTATCTTTTTGACTGCTCATTCTGCTCTGCATATTTCCTCACTACAACATTTCCCAATTAGAGGCAAGAGCTTCTAGGTCACCAGACTTGAGACCAAGGAGTTGCTGCTATCAAATCACATCTCAGGAAACAATGAACCAGCATGATCTAAATTATGTATCAAGAACAGAGAGMTGCTTGACAAACAACTTATGCAGAATGAAACAATTCAACAGATTACCCAACTTACAGTCATGGATGTTGTGCTGGATAGATGTTTGAAAAATTATTAGGATGCTGCACRTATTGGAATTACACAAGGACACTTCTAACTAAGTTTCTGGAGTCTTGGAGACAGCTGCTGTTTGCTGACAAAACCAGAGCTGCCTGCCTCCCAAAGGAATGTTATCACCACCCCCAAGAGTGACTGACTGGCCCTTCTTAGGGCTCCTGGCTTCTTCCCCTGGAGTCAAGGGGTCTCTGTTAAGCTGCCACCATCAGATCCTAGAGCAGAGAGAAGGCTCTCTTTGCAGAGGTCAGCTGTGGCAAGCATCAGGGAAGTGGAGGGAAGTCTGAAACTYGCAGAACACTGATGATCTTACAGAAATTAATTATTTTGGCATTTSAAATCTGRAACTWGAGGAGTTGGTATAAGAAAAAAACYKKWAWWAAMMMYT